TTGTCCTAACTTTCCAGGCTGGAGTCTTCATAGTTATACTCCTCCGGGTTTGCTCCAACTGCATGAACAGAGTGGATTTCATCTTCCTTGTTCGATCAGGGTGCATCGGTGCTTTCTAGCAAAACTTGCTTGACCAAATAACATCTTGACTCGTCGTTCCTTGTCCGTTGGGCGCCCTCACCACATTCGCCAGCTCTCTCACATCCGCCAGACGTAACACGGCCAAATGGTTCGCTAGTTCTGGGTAATCTAAGGTTTTGCCATAATGTTCGAAATTTTTCTTTTGAATCCTGGCGGTCCGTCTCTGATCTTAATCTTCGCCCCAGGTCCAATGACATTAAGATGGTATGTAATCCGTCGAAGATATATTCGATCTATTCTTTTCATGGCAATATTGGCGGGCCACTGATGTCCTCAAGCCGCAGAACTGCATCTGAAATTTGTGGTAGTAGGTCCGTTCAACTCCCGCAAACAGATCGACCTAGTTGGCTGTTCAGTTTTGGATTGGTCCGGTCAACATTCCTCCGAAAACGAGACCTGCTTTTTTATCTGACTCTTGATCACGTTTGATTGCGGTCTTCACAGCAGTCACCCAACTGCAAGCTTAGGCTTCATATATCGATCTCTCCCAGAGCTTGATGCGAGTAACCACGTTGGGTGCTGTACCAGTGTGGCATTGGCCATCCTCACCAGAGGTCCTTCAAGTTCCATGTAATCTGGATTATACTTGCATGAACCGACCGATTCCATCTCCACATCAGTCATTATTCTTGTGTCTTGAAACTTTTACATCTGCACTTGAGCCTGGACGGGCCATCGACCTTTGCAAAGAATAGTTATGTTATTGGAACGAATTACGTCGCTATCGGATGATAGTGGTGTGGAGGGTGGAGTCGCAGATTGATCAAAAAAATTGGGTGAGGTACGAAGGAACGGCGATTGCCAGTGGCACCCATTGAGATTTACTCAATCAAAGACGCTAGTCATGCGGTTCAAACACCTGATCTATCGGACCCGACGATCCACTCGATCAAAGAAGATAGAGATGCCGCATCTGGTTGATCGAATTCGAAGATCCACTCGATCAAAGAAGATAGTGAGTCGAATCGAGCATTCAATCAATCGGAGTCGACGATCTATACCTCAAGTACTCCCGCAATCGATCCTTCGTCCATGATCGCCACTGAACCTATTTTAGTCGGAATAAGGGATAATTATAACCCTAATAAAACCTTCTATTATCATATTTCTGGAGAAATATATGTTGAGGATGTGGATCAAAATATGGCAGTCTTGCCAGAGATCGAAAATGCTACAGTGGAAGTGAAGATCGACGATCGATGATATTCCAGTGATAGATCCAGGTATACCTCCTACAGATGATCAAGATAAGCTACTTCAGTTAATCTGGAGGTACCGACACCTTCAAGAGGAAAAGAAGACGCACTATCTCCGGCAGTACGCGAAGCATTTTTGCCAGACTAATGTTGGTGGGGAAGACTTGATCGCGCAATGGGTACATACGTCAAATTGCAATCTCAGACCAAGTCGTCTAGGGTCGGATCGCATGGTGTGGACCACATACTCCGGATCGTGATCAATACTGAAGAGACGCGCTGCGGTGGGTCCTGTCATACGAGTAGGCAAGTTTTTGGATTTATTGAAAAAGGGTAGTATTGAATTTTCCAGGTAATCCATAGGTGTTGTAGTGTCTTAGGCTAGTAATTGGTACATGCATTGGTTCTTAGCTAATACATAGGTATCACATAGTACACGTGTTCTTATCTCTTTCCAGTTGCGATCAATGTTCTAGGTCGATCTACATTGGGTACACGTCTTCGGCTATCCAGCCTGATCATGACCATTACGTTGGTTGGAACTACAATTTTCAGATCGAAGATCCGTGGGACTCTTCGTGCGATCCGGTGAAGCAGCGACGCAAACGCTTCGTTGATCCGCATCAAAACCCAATCCTTTAGTTTCTAATTCCTATCCACTGCTGTTAGATTCGATATGGATCGATCGCACTGCGTGGGTAGGTTTTGACGGTGTCATATTCGGTGGGATAGTAGATCGCTGACGAAACTTTCTCGATCCCATAGATGCTTTGCCTTGTCGGGAAACCATACGTTGAAACGCACGTAATGTTCTTTTCCCCCATGAAATCTGCATCTTGAAATCGTAATAGCGTAACTGTTTTGCCAGATCGCGATCATCCAAAGTTTCAAAGAAATACTTCACATGCTCACGACTAGCAGTGGGTGATCCATGTCGTACTGGAACTTCTGCTCTCATTCCCGTCACATTCAATGGATACAGATACACTAAAAGAGTTTCATCTGATCTTTTTCACGCCTGATAAATATTGCATTCCGGCAGATACATCATATCCTCCATACTGAACCATGAAACTTTCCAAGAGTAGTTTACAAGTGTTTCGCATCGATCGGCTTAGCTGGACATACCGGATTCACGCCGGTCCCGTAAGTAAATCGCTGAAACCAAATACTTTTCTACATCTGGTGCCTGATCCGGTAGAAACGCGGAATTGACCTCGCTGGTCCAACTTCTGGCTCGATCCTCGTCGTTGTCTCGTTTGGAAAACTCTTTCAGATCTGCTATTGCCGACGCTCAAGTTCGATGGGTGGTAAATTCTCACAATAGCCTCTGATGTTGCTATCAACGGTCGTCGAGGATCATCCAGGCCAAAATCGTCCTGGTCGTACTCTTGTGAACTTATACCACATGATCCCACTGGTTCCTGTCAACATCCGAAATATATGACTGGCGATCCAGGGAAAATTTTGATTGATCATTAGGGCGATTATCCCATGTCTAGCATGTTGTTTGCGAACAAACTGTTCCATCTCAGCATCGAAATATGGTCGTAACTGAATCAATCCGGCTCGTTCCACATTCTCCAAGCGTGGGTTGATTCCTGATCGCAGCTCGGCCTTGATCGGAATCTTGCGACCACGCAATGATGCTGCACTCATAATTCCTAACGTCATCCTGTCGATCTTGATCGATTCTTCCAAGTAAGCTTCAGATTCTGCCGAGGCAAACTGCGACGATCCAGTATGGTACTTATTCGGACTGTCTCATGTCTGCATGTTTAGGTGATCCGTCAAATTCTTCACACCATTCATAGTGACTAGCTTTTCAAAGAGCAATCGCGCTGCGTTAATCACCTGATCTTGATCACAATCGAGTAGTATGTGGGCTTCAAACGATCCAGCAGTAAATCTAGCATCTTGTAACAGCTTCATCATCTGTCGGATCTTGTTCAACGTGATCGTCATTGGTACCGGTGTCAATTCTGGACCTTACAACGCTCCGATCAGCTTTGGCACCATGACCATGACCACAGGATCATTTAGCAACAGCGCTTTATCCAAAGTAATTCGGAGGCCATCTGATTCAGCTCCATACTTCCAACTTGATAAGATCGTCGTCATTCACAGGCGAGCCGCGCTTCCTAACGCGATCTGCAAGGATCCCAAAAGGGATCTGGGGAGGGGTTCAGAGGCATTTCTTCCAGATCTATGTTTGATCTTCCTCTTTATATTTCTCGTCGTCAATGTACTTCCCAAAATCTTGACGATCCGGCGATCTTTACTTTCTTCACTCAGGTGAGCGTTGCGAGTGTGGGGTGCCGTGACCCGACGGAGACTCGGTGTTGCTGGCAGAGGCAATGTCACTGTCATCATCTCCAAAAATGTCGCGGCACATCTCATCATCCATAATAAGATGGCGCAACAGCTTTGTGAGCAGTAATGCAATAGTATAACGCTTAGTCAGAATTAAAGCGTGAAGCGCAAAGACTGGAGGTGCTCAAGGAGCAAGTGTTGGTAACACTGAGAGGCTTTATAAGCAAGTGTGTAAACCACCAAGGGACTTTGAAATCAAGTGCTATGCACTTAATGCTCAAGGAGCAAGTGTGAAACACTAAGAGGCTTTTGGCGCAAGTTTTGAGCACTTTAATGCTTAAGAATAAAAAAAGGGAAGAATGAAGTCGTTGGAACTTTACAATACGTGGGAGTAGAGATGAATGAACAGGGAAAATTGCATTCAGCGTGGAAGCACTAAAATTGAAGAAAAAATTAGTTGCACAAAGTACAAAGTTTCACCTCTTGCAGATTAATCAATGCAAAAACATCGACGTTTTCTTTTCCTTCCAGAGATGAGTCTTTTGATCATCCAAATTTTTACTTACTGAAGTTAAGGGTCGGCGTGGAAATTGACATGGTCCTCACAAACGAAGAAATGAAATTTATAGTTGTGGTCGTATCCGTCTTGTCAGAATTTTTTAAGGGGCAAGGTTATTGTCAAGAAAAACAACCAACATGGGCACATGTTGGTTGTTGATGCAGGTAAGCGTATCACGCTTACCTGCATTCGGGTTTAGAGCTTTTTATGCGAAAGCGGAACGCCCGTAAAACGCTCAACCTTTATATTTTAGTTTCTCGGTGCTTAATTATACAAGCAAAGACCTTCATAATTAATAAAACAATTCTGAAAGGCTAACCTTATTACACTTTTGCAAATTTAAAAGCGAATCGTTCTTACAGATGGCAGGGCGCTTCCCCCCGCAACAGCCGCCAGTACAAGATGCTATCCATACCAGCAAGCCTGCCATTTCTTCAGCAGCAAAATCTTCTCCTTTTGCATCAGGGTAGATGTTTTTCTATAAACATGGGTAAGGCACACAGGCTTCTTACTTGTAACACTCTTGTATGTAGCCCGGTGGCGATGGTAAACAACTTTCAACATAGTTTTGGCGCTTCTGGGCAGCTTCAAGGTTAGTTTTGCTGTTTTCTCTTGACACAAAATAGAGGCGTATAGTGTATAATTTTGTTGCGCAGGTCACGCAATGCGCACTACACTAACGCAACTTTCTACGCCGCTAGTTCCACAGCAACATCTAGCGGCGTCAATGGCTAGCGCTTCATCTGAACCCCTCATATCGCTTTTTGCGGACAAGCCTCTAAACCAACCAGATGCTGCATATGATATGCTCGGGCAAGCTGCGCCGCCATCTGCGATCGATCTTTTTGGGCAAACTGTACCTTTGTCGTCTCAGCAGCATCGATCGAGGCCCGACCCATTTGGCAGCCCTACAGGGTCAGTTCCTCCATTTTCCATGCTGCAAGCTCACAGCGACGTGCAGGGGAGAAGCTAATCTGCTTTTACCTGCAGATTTATTTGGTCCAACTTCTTCGCCTGGACAGCCAAGTCAGGAAAACGTCTACAACAACTTGTTTGGCAACTCAGAAAAAGTGTCCACATCTGTTTCGGCGACATCGCAGCAGTCACCAATAAGTTCTTCGCAGGGTTCCTCGTCATCGGCATTTGGGTGGTCCCAACCCCCTCCTCGAATTACACAAGGATATATACCGTATCAACAGCAGCAGCTGTCGCTGCATCCGTTTGGACAAGCACCTCCTCCTGCTGCACCATTTCTGGGCTGTGGAAAGAACACTGGGCCGCAGTTGCTCCGCACTTCTGCACCATCAGTGACTACACCGGAGCTACTGACACCCTCTGCCCAAAGTATCCCGTGTCCGGCAACATCGACGCCATCTGAAGTAAAAGTGCCACTTTTTTCCTCATCTCAAATAACGCGTGGAGCTCCATCCGTGAACGAGCTTGTCGACGATTTTTTGAAAAAGCCAGTTGATACTCGCTTTGCCGGTTTTGAGGATGTGGCCTCTCTGTCAAGGAAGTCTCGTTTAGCAGACATTCCGGACACCGTAAAGAGCTTGGAACTGTTGTATGCTCGGAAGCGATGGAGGTCATTGATAAAAAAGTCGCTTTTGATGCTGCAAAGCCCATCGAATGATAGTAACATGACGCTGGAAATTAAGTCCTGGTGGCTTGCCGGTCTTATTAAAGAGGGCCACTATGAGAATGCAGCTAGTGTACTGGACCAGATTGGAAACCTTTACGAAATATCAGTTACGGACGGGGCAACACCGTTCGTGCCTATTCGTTTATTTCTTCTTCAGGCAGCACTAAGCAAATGCCAAGGAAAAGCGGTTAATCACGAGAAGCAGCTATTTCACTTGGGAATGCGGCTACAAAGTGCAATTCGAAAGAATGAGACAATGTCGCTCCTAGGCGTTGAAGTGAAAGTAGCTGCACGGTGGCTACGAATTGTACAGTTTGCGCTTGCGAATCATCTAGTGCAACAGCAAAAGTTCATGCTGGCCTTGCGTATCTGTTCGCAGATTGATGTACGTGCTGGTGGGCTGATAGCTGCTTTGCGGTTTGATGTGCTGCTGGCTAACGTTTTTGATGATATTATGCGCTTGATTTACAGGTTCAGTTTTTGGACGATACGGAGAAAGTAGTCGTACTGTCCCGAGTGGGGCGCATCCATCTGCAAATGGGTGACCTAACGGCTGCAAAGAAGTTGTTTGGTGTTGCCCGCTATCACACTAACCAAGTGAAAACTGGCATTAGCAATGACACTGTAGTACCGGCCGAGGTGGTAAAGGCACTAGAAGCGCGCTTGCTTCTAAATGACGGTTTATGTTTTTTTGCGCAGAATGAGTTGCAAGAAGCGCTGCGCGCTTTTGACTCCATTTTGGATTTGCAGAACACGCAAGTTCCGACATTGGCTAACTCTGATGCTGAGCTATTTCTTGATGAGGATATTGTGTGCTCGGCTGTCAACAACTATGCAATTTGTTCACTTTACTGCTGCGATGTAAAGGCAGCTATTGCTGCGCTGGAGCGAATGGTTCGGTCAAACCCGCAACGCTTTCTTAACGGCGTGGTCGTGTTTAATCTCAGCTCACTTTACGACCTTCAATTTGACAACGCCACGAGCAAGAGCCGTAAAGAAATGATGAACAAGATTGCCAATCTGTACGATCTTGAGCATGTCGACCCGGCAGCTTATCGCATTTAATACAAAGGTGCGATGCAAGTGTTGTTTATACTTTCCGCTTCTTAGTTGTCTCTTTGCCACCATTAGCTTCATCGTTAACGTCGTCGTCATCGAGGTGGATATGATCTTTTGTTGCTGATGTCCAAGGTTTCTTTATCCCAATTCTAGCAGTGGCAATACTACCTAAGTCACAGCTTTTAATTCCGTCGTCTGGCGTATTACCATTTTTGCTACTACCAACTGCAGCTGCGTCGTTATGGTACAACTGACGTTTTAATTGCTCCTTCATCTCGAGCCATCGCGTCTTACTCATAACACGAATTCCTTTCAGGTTTGTATCCGACGAGTTGACAGCAGCGTCAGTAGCCTGTTGATCGGAAAACTCTATGAAACCAAAGCCTTTGAGCTTCTTGTTTTGCTGGAATCTCGGCAGGCTCACCAGGTTTACCTTGCCGAATTGAGAAAAAACCTGTCGCAGCGAATCGTGGTCGTCCATAGCACCGAAGCTGTCGATATAAATTGTACGGGCATCTACTGCATAGAGATATAGATACGTTTCTATGGTTAGGAAAACTATTATTCGTGGCAATAACCTCGCGTGTACGTGAGTATCGCACTTGCGTTATCATCCTGGCCAGCCGCTGGCATAATCTTTGGCGCGATGCAAAAGCGCGACCAATCGGCTTGAATTGTCAAAGACTTTTCTGCTGCGTCCAGGATCATGCGTTCGGTCGCCTTTAGTATTTTCAATCTAAAACGACATATCCATCCAATTAGCAGCCTAAAAAGTATTCCGAGTGAATATGCTATTTATGAACCCACTTGTTGAAGGAAAGAAACACACGCACGGAGACAAAGCCCTGTTTGTCCATGGCCTGTTGTAAGAACTTATCCTGGCGGAGATTGCTTTCGCTCAAGTAGAATTCTAACTGTCGCTGCAGCTTCTTGCGCTGAGATTTGCCGCCTGTGGTCATATTTTAGTAAGTGAGTGTACCAGGGTTACATTCATCAACCAGATTAATTACAAAATTTGTATCATGTCTACGGCTTTCCACTACGACAACTAAACCATCGCTAGACGTATTTACATCAGCATTTGTTAGCAAAAAAGGAGGCTGGCGATTTAAGCAGTAGAAGCAATGCTTCCTTTGTAATACAATTACATTGTCATAGCTTACGTCGAATATGTACCGAGTTGTGGCAGTTGGCAGTTGCTGTTATTTATGCTCGTGGCAGTTGGCAGGTGGTTGGAATAACGAAGGACAAGACATTGAAGAACAGTGGCGTAGAACGGCAGCTTGAAACGCAGGTAGGAACAGAGATACTCAGTCTGGAATTAGCAGCAAACAGAGCAAGTTGTCTTAGCGAAAAACAGCGTAGCTAAGTAAATAAATTAATTGTGTGTCAGAAGTACACATCCGGTGTTTTCTTGGAGAGGCAAGAAGAACACGGTACTGAGGTGGCAAAATACTCACGATTTTTTAGGCGTAGAAAGACGTAAATATAGAGTATCAAGAGTCTCTAGCTACGCAAAAAGCTGACGCATAGGAGATTGCAACAGGGTTATGAGCCCAAGCCTGAACGAGGCGTAAGCGTAACGAAGTATCTTGTGCAACAGTACGCAAAGAGCGACTCCGTTGGAAGAAAATTCAAGCGTTAAACATTCGGCCGGGACTTGAGCGAACAAGAGTTCAAGTGGCGAAACTCTACCTAAGTGGTGTACAAAATGTCCAACAAGGTGGAGCTGGATAAATATGGACCTGTAGGATGGCATGGCCAGTCTTGGGCGTACTATAAAGGAATAATGCAATTAACTTTCGAGGGGAAAGATGTGTTGGATTGTGCTACGGGAGACAAAGTTCACGCAGCTAACGCAAGCACAAACGAAGTAAAGGGGTTTCGAGAAGCTCAAGTAACGATCAAAATGCAGCTTCTTGCGTCCTTATTGATGGAGTTAGGTCAGCGAGTGATGACGAAAGAAACTGGTTCCGAGATGTGGAAGTACCTGGAGGACTTTTACGAGGGAGAGACGAATGCTGCAACGAGAACAAACCAGGAGACCATCTTGTACTACAAGTTAAACGCGATAAAGTACAAACTAAGTTGGGACGTGGTGCAGCAGATTGAAAAGATGTTCATGATGAAGGAACAACTAGCTGCTTTAAACGCAGAAGTTCGCGACCCCATTTTTACGCAACTACTGACCAGTCATTACCATCAAATGCGCGTTTCGAGCGTCTACGGGGTATGGTGGAAAGCGGGGATGACAAAGTAGATACATCAGAGAAACTGAAAGATCAAATTTTCCGGATGGACAGCTACAGTAATTGTGATCGAGAGACGAGTAGGTACGGAATAAGGAGTTCATTTTGGCTGTTGCCATATCTAGGCTTCTCATCGTCTCGAATTCAGAGATGTTAAGAGGCCTAGATATGGCAACAACCAAAATGCAAAAGAGCCCGTTAAGGAACCATCTTTTGCAGAATATGTCCAACGTACTACACCCAGTTCAGTGACAGACACGAAGCAAGGAATGTAGCCGAGTTACTGTAGCCACGCTACTTATGCACTATGTGCAGAAGAAGTAGTCAGACTACTGTAGCAAAGCTACTTATGCACTATGTGCAGGAAAAGACAAGCTCAGAAAGCTTCTACGTCTTAGGGTGATTAACCCTCCTAGGCTAGCTCGTAAGCTTGTGCCTATCGGTATTAACAACCGAGTGTCAGAGAGACTAGTATCAAAGATACTGATTCCTTGGAAGGAATCGAACGCTTAAGCTGTAAGGCTTACAGAGTAGGTTTGAAACTGATTTATATTTATGTTTATCTTCTAACACGAAATATAGAAGCACCTACTCTATACTTAGTGCTAGTCACTATCAATCTGGCTCTGTATACCATAAATATGCAAGCATGCATAGTCATTATACTTAACTAAGTATAGTAACCACGTGACTCTCTGCCACGATGCGACCCTTCGTACTTCAGGTACGGTCACATCACCTACTTTTGTACCCAAGGTACAGCCACACCACATTGGTGTGACAGGTGTGTATGTACAATACGCACCTTAGTGTAACCCCGTTACACCCGACAATTTATCTCGCTTAATGGGAGTCATAGATTTCATTTTCTTCTCATTTTGCTTGCCTTGCAATAAGTGCTTCGCACTTGCGAACAAAGCTTTAGTGTTTTCAACACTTGCCCCTTGAGCACCTGTGCGTTGCACACACGCTTCCTAAGCATACTAGCGTTACGACACTCGCTCTTTGAGCATACAGTACGCTAAAGCATTATAGTGTAATTACACTTGCTTATAACCGTCAAGTGCCAAGCGGTTGGCATTAATACCCTTTGTGTGTACAAAGACTTGCTTTTACAGCATTTAAGTGCCTAGCACTTGCTTTAAAGCATTTCAGTGTCCCCAACTCTTGCTTTTAAAGAACTGTCCCTATTGCGCTTGCTCCATCATGGATAATGCAACGCACCGCGAAATCTTTGAGGAAGGCAACAGTGACGTTGCTTCTAAGGGCAACGGCGCCGAGTCTCCCATGGGTCATAGTTCCCTACTATCGCCACGCTCACCGAGAGAAGGACTCCGATCCCGTTAGATGTCTTCTTCTCCGAAACAACCGCATTGCGCCAAGCGCCAACACTTCCCTCGCGAGAGGGTACTGACGAAGAGGTAACCAACCCTCATGACGCTGCACAGCGTCGTCAACTTGGTGACGAGGCCCAGTGGCCGCCTTGGCACGGCCCAAACAAACCTTTTCTCTTCGTGACTATGGGTTCGTGCCTCGGGACTCCAATGAGGAAGTTCGACGATCTTCGTCGCAATCTTTGCAAACCTATGTCATTGGGTCCCATGCCCGTACTACTTGCGATGTTTCGGATCGTGCTGATCTTCGTAAGCGGCTCCTTGCTCCCCAGGAGCTTACGATAAAATCGTATCAGGAGCGACTGCCACGACAGTCACTGTGGTGCCCGTGCAACTGCTAAACGGCATACCAGTGGTGCTTGCACCAGGTGAAACATCTGCAGAAGATGATCACCAGTTCACCCGTTGGGCAGAACGAGCATGTAAGCTCTCAAGTTTGTCAAACTTACGCTTAAGCGCTAAAGCGCAAGACATTTGGTTAGAACGTCGTCTACGTTTTAACTTCGATAAGTTCTAAGCGAAACGTCAATCACTTTCTCCACATTCAGGTCAAAGATTTGTGCGAAGCAAGCTTCTGAAGCTGTTGCCCGTACCCCTCACGCGAGTGATGTACCGACACTGGCTTCTTCTGAAGTTCAGAGGCGAAGCCATCCTACTGACCTTACAACCACAGCTAATGCTAGCAAGCGTCCGACGACAGCTGTCGCCCCTTCTGACCGTCCTGGTCAAAAGTGTCAACGGCGTCAGGGCCTCCTGCCGGAGGGGGGCATCATACTTCCACGAGTCGTACGACTGGGGGAAACCCCTCCACTTCACTAAGTATTGGGTATGACCCAGGTGACGACGCCGAGCCAAGACGTTCCACGTGGAACTGTTGATGACACTGGTCATCAATCAGCGTCGGAGGAGGTTGATGACCCATTGTCCTCTCATCTCTCTGAGATTGAGCGTCGCCTGACACTCCTGGAGCGTGATGCTTTTGGATCGGTGACGTCTCACCTGTCATCGCTCGATGGTCTTGTCAATCGACACCGTCGATTCTTGGAGCGTTATTGCTCTGAGACCTCGGATCGCTTAACGGCGATTGAGCGCTCTCAAACCGAGCTTCGATGTCAAATTGACCTCCTGGTACGCCTCCAGCGTCCATATGCACCTCCAGTGCCGTACTACCCGCCTCCTTCGGCCCGGGATATGGGCACAACCCCTCGAAGTACACCGAGGCAGGGTTGAGATATGGCTTTAGCAAGCTCGCGTAGAACACAGGATGTGTTTGCATCTGCTTTGGAAGGTTCAGCGTATAGGCTAAGCCTTTCTTTCCTATGACCTTGAAAGGTCCAATAAATCGTGTTCGTAATTTAGTTTTATATACCGCCGAAATGGCACGGGTAGGTAATCTCTTAGCGTTTAAGAAAACTAAATCAACCACTCTAAACTCATGTTTGTTATTCCTGCCTTTGACATTTGCGTGTTCCTTCTGAACATCTTGGCTTTCAGCCATAGCGTCAAAACGCGTTATTCAGTCGACCCTATTGGGCCAGTACCTCGTCACTAGGTGCTTGCAACCTCGTTGTTCTCAAAGATAACATCCATTGATGACTTTACCCAACTTTCTGGGTCAGTACCTCGTCGTTAGGTGCATGCACCTCGTTTTTCTCAACAACAACATCCATTTGTGACTTCACCCGGCCCTCCAGTCACTCATGTCACTTGGACTCATGTCCTGACCTTTTGGCTTGCAGCTACCAACACCATTCACGGTGTTTAATGATGTAACATCATTCTCATGACACATGTCATATGTGCCATCTAGTGGGTTCTCAACCACACTATCGATAGTCACTGGGACTCACCCAGGACAATTGTCTTCAACACTTACAGTGTCTACAAAGTCGGATATTCCGACATCCAACATATTGACCGCCTCGGTCCAATATCCGTGCCAAATGCGCTTTTGCTTCCAGCAGAGGTGACCGAGCGTTAACATTAGCCGAAACCACCAATTATTCTAATAACCTCTATAACCAAGTACAGCTCAACAGAAAAATAGACAATGCGTAGACAATTTGGTATTTTATGCGACGATTGTAAATCGTGCTAGAGCTATTGCTTGGGCATTTCGTCCTGTCCGGGAAATACCCATCCAACGGTGCGTAGGATGCCTGTCACAACATTCTCGCCATCAACGTCAGCAGTGAACTTAGTAACTTGTTTTTGTGGTTGAATATCCTCCTCACTTATCCAAGAATGCAACTCAATCTTCTTTTGCAACGGTACAGAGACGATCTTCTCTCCGAAAATGCAATTGCACATCATTGGCAGCTGCGGCACGCGGCCTTGCTGTTGCAGCACACCTGTCGCACGTCCCATCATCCACATCAACGGCATCGTGTCTTTTGAACTGGTTGGTGTCTGCACTACGCCTACTACGCTGACCTCCTCAAACTCTCTGAGATTTCGCTTCGAGCATCCAAAGGAGTTCGCTTGATGCTTTGACTTAGCACGGACTACTAGACTCAGATCGAGCGTCGATGAAGATACGGATAGCGGTACAAGCAGCGTTTCCTGATTAAAAGGTATGGAGAACGACGTAACTGATTGCCAGACGGTGCCTAGCTCGTCGAGTAAGTCTGTCTGCACAATAAACTCAATCTCGTCTTCAAGAAACCGCTTTTCTGTTAGAACCATAATGCACTGCAGATCCAGAAAATGGTAAAGATAAGCAAAACAGAAAACAAGCCTTGTCTTTGCAGTAATGCGAGAGTGAGCGCACCTTAAGCTCAGGAGCAACCGGCGTTACCCCATCCTGCGAAGGAAAGCTCATATCTAGCGGTCGCAGATGCACAACAGTGAGTGCCTTGAGACGCATGCAGCGCACGCTGGCAGGGAAGTGGGAGTTGCCAAACAGCTGCAGAAAGAGACTGCCTATGGCGATCTGGGGGAACAAGAAGGGTAACTGCTCCAGCGACAGCTTGGGCAGACTCAGAGATGTCGCTAGCTTGGCGAAATCGGCAGACAGTAGTGCAAACGGGCACTGTAGCGTGATGCGCGGGCACGGGCTGCGCAGTATGGAGGTCCGCCAGTTGCGGCGCGTGAGCGGCGACAACCAACAGCGCCAGCGAAACTCCCGAGTCCCGAGATCGGCGGGGGCAGGGAGAGCCGCATATTTCTGCGCGATATCGTGGTCCCACGTAATGGCTACAAAGGCCATAAGCAGCAGCACAGCCACGAATACTAGCAGGAATACACCCAATGCTAACAGCATTTTTACAATAGGATTTTGTGAGCTTTTATTGCAATATTGTTCAGCATTTTTTACTGGATGTGCTTAAAAATACTCTTTTTTAATATAATACATTTTAAGAAATTGAGCACCAGTAGTGTAGCCATGCAAAGGTTCTACTACGGTGCTAGAGTGCGTCATGGTAGTGCCTCTCGCCTATCTCATTGTTTCTGCTTTACAAGGTCTTTCTCGTCTCCAGAAAACTTCTCGACGGTTGTCAACGTCCATGCTTTTGCAGACGGTGCATCTCGTGGCAATCCCGGTCGCAGCGGTTGCGGCGCCTTGCTCATGGATCCTTCAACAGGCCGCGTGTTGGCCTCAGACACCAAGTATGTGGGCAATCTGGAGACTAACAATGAGGCTGAATATCACGGCTTAATGCTGGCACTACAATTGGCGAAGAGGCACCAGGCCACGTACGTGCATGTACACATGGACTCGCAGCTTGTCGTGCGGCAGATGCAGGGTCTTTACCGAGTTAAGGCCACTAATCTACGGCAACTCCATCAGCAATGCAAGGGCCTTATTGCAACGCTTCCCCACGTGACGTTTTCCCACGTCGCTCGAGAAGAAAATTCTGCTGCTGATTGTCTAGCGAACGAAGCTATTGACGAGTACAATGCCATGGTCAATTGATAGAACATCTCTTGTGTGTAAGTGTAATATTAATACAGAATGAATATCTTGTTGTGTCAGCAAATGTCAATAAGTCCCATGACGAATGTCAATAGGTTTCATACGACCTTTTCACTTGTCTTGTAAATTAGCTTCGTTTTATGTATGAGACTTGAGAGATTCTTTCGTCATTTATACGTAAAGACATCCCTCGTCTATCTTGTAACTTAGAATCGTGTAGTTGGATACGCGTACTACCTATTCGAACACACTTGCAAGTATGGGGAATAAGATAAACCGTTCTACATCAGCACCACAACTAGCACTTGATGCGCTATTGTCGCGCCCTAGTGCTCTCCATTCGTCCATGTTCTCTCTCCATGCAACTGCACACCACGGCGTACCAAGTAACGCTCAAACGTTGGCCTTCTGCGGTCTACAAGGTATCTTGGCCGTAGGCACCGCGTCTGGGGCTGTTAAACTCTACGGAGCTGAGGGAATTGAGGTTTTGCTGGAAGGACCTACGTCCGTGTCGCACTTGGCGGTGGGCGTAACCCACTTGAAGTTCACTGCGCGCCAGCGTTTGGTCGTGATCTACACGGACAACTCTATACGCGTCGTTGATTTAGCTTCGGGTGCCATACTCTGCTGTGTCTCTAGGAGCTGGACCACAAGCGTCGTCACGAGTATCGAGACCATCAGCTACAGCAACTTTCCCTTCTTCTTTGTGGCTACAGACAACGGAGAGATGCACGTGATACAGGAAGAAACGGGTCAAGTCAGCACCTACATCATTCGGCCGCAGGATCTCACGGCCCGAAACGCTGATGGTGTCACAGCGATGGCATCTCACCCGAGAGATTCCAATTTACTCCTGATCGCCTATGATTCATGTCCTGATGTGCTGCTATGGGATTTCTCCAGGCGCAAAGTTGTGCGGAAGTTCTCCCTCTTAAGGAAGGTAAACATGTATCCAGAAACGTCTGATGTGTCCTCTGCCGATGTGGGTCTCATCGTAAACTCCCCGCAGTCGTTGTCGTGGCATGGTAGTGGCAAGAGATTTGTGGCTGGTTACAAGCAAGGCGGCTTTTCGGTGTTTCAAGTCGATAAACCCCACGGAATTTATCGATATGCTACAGGAACGGTATCAAGTAAAGTGGTCACACCCGTGAAGCAGATCAATTGGGTGTGTGCGCCGCCAACTTCCAAACACGCTGTGCTTCCTGGTGCCATCGTGCTCGCTGGAGGCCGCTCTGACAACACCGAATCCAAGCTGTTAACCGTGATCTATCCTCCTCGAAACGGACGTAGCACCAATGATGTACTTGTAGACCTTTATACAGCTGAGACATTGGTTTGGAGTATTGCTACGATTGAGTCGGCAAATCACGCCGAAATCGTGTCTTTCATCGTCGCTCATGACCAAGTGGACTACAGTTCAAAATTGGCTCCGTTGTCGCTGATCTTACTCTCCGGAAATTCATTGGATGGCTGCTTGCCAACAGTAAGCGTGCAGGGACTGCCGTGCTTCGTCAAACTGTGCGATGGCGACGAAGAAGAATGGGAATGGCGGTTTGATCGACTTCCGGAGCCTGCGGTTGTCCCTCCGCTGCTGCATCTTAGTCCACTGAAGACTTTCGCACTTGTGAACCTGTCTGATTCTGACAGCACTCTTCAGGATGACTTACTCTCGACATGGAACCAAGCGAAATACAACCCTATGTTTCGCTTTATGGATAGCAGTGATTTTGAGTGGCCTATTAATGGTGGTAGCATACTTGAGCCAATGCTTAAGAAATTTGCAACGCCATGCACGCTTAACAGTGAAGCTGGCATTGCACCAAATGGAATGATACTGCTGACAGGACACGCAAACGGGTATGTGCTTTTCTGGGAAGCTCGGACAGCTGGAGATTGCGTCAGCAAGGGTGCTATTCGCTTGATTCATGTGGTTGATGTGTCGCTACAGATGTCACCGGCTTCGGTTAACACAGAGATTACGTGCCTGACATTCTGCGCCGGCTCACGCACACTTGTGGTTGGTTTTGCATCCGGTGCAATTGTGGTCCTAGAGTTTGTTCATTTGAAGAAAAATATTTCTTTGACTGAACAAGTACAGGAAAATAAATGCAGCGACGTGAGAAATGGTGCTTTTGATCTAGAGCAGAAGTCAAATTCTGATCAAGGAAACTTGCCTAATGAACGAGCAGGTCAAAACGAAGCTGTTGGCTTCCGCACACTCTTCTTCTTTCATGTACACACAGAACCGATTTCAAAGCTGGTAATATCCTCCTTGTATGGGTACGTCTGTATAGCTGACGCCGCAGGCATGGCATCACTTGTAAACACGAAGACGCAGTCTTTTCAGGTACTGGTCTGCGATTTTTCCCCTGCTTGTGATGAGTCCATGTTGGTGGGCTCATTGCTGATCAGTGAACTTGTCCAAACGACCGAAATTCCTGGAAGTGGTTCTTTGCCTCTTTCTTCGCTGCTCACGATGAATAAAAGTGGTGGTAAAGGATCGCGTGATAAAAGTGGTGGTAAAGGATCGCGTGGCTTCTTTACTGGTGACGAAAATCTTCAGAATACGACACAGTATCGCGAAGTGGTCATTGTGCTTTTCGTTGGACGTGGTAGCGGTAAACTGGAAATGTACCATGTGCAGTCAGCCACAAAAATGGGAGAAACGCTCGTGGATCCAGAAAAGACTACCAGTTTGTCGTCAATCCTCATGGTAGACAGCGATGGCAAGCGTATTGAAATTCCAAGTCGCAAGTGGGTCGAGCGAGATACGACCTTCAACATTGCTGATGGTGTCGGGAATTCTACAGTTTCGATCGACATGCTGAAGCCAAAGCTAACAGAAGACAGACTGAGAAATAATTCCGCGAGTGCTATAAACTACCAGCCGAATTGGCAAGCACTAATGGCAAGCGCAAGCTTCGAATCAACGCAACAGCTTGTGATGGAAGCAAAAGATGAGAGATCAAAGGCTGCAGCTGTTGAAGCGATACCAGCTGATGTTTCGAACCAGCTGACTTGGACACAAAGCTCTCCCATTGAGATCACAGTTCCTCCAGGATCACTTGGGTTGCATCTCTTTATGGAGGTGGAGCAACACGCTGTTGTGAAAGGATTTGCGGATGACAGCAGCACAGCAATTTTGCTTGCGAACAAGGGAATCCGCAAAGGTTATACTCTTACTGCAATTAATGGTGTGAATGTGATCCCCTTTGACCGCGATTTGGTATGCAGAGTTCTCGAAAAGCTTCGAGATTACGAGAAGGTGCTAGTTTTTGCTGTAGGCTTCAAGTATCCGGGAATGCCTGTGAACGATGAAATTGGAAGCCTCAATGGTCCGCTTGTCGAGTCACCAAATGCTGTGGAATATGAACGACCACGTTTTTTAGTGTGCACGTGTGGCAAGGTGATTCACGTCGTGCAGACGACAGTTCCTCGAGCAGCCGAGATGGCAACGGGTCCTAAGGACATTCCGGTGGTGCCTTTAGCAAGTGTTGAATTGCAGGGGGTTGTGCTTGTCACCTCGTTAATTCGAATACCTGTTGGTGAGGGTTTCGAAAACTGCCTTGCCGTCGTTGACCAAAGTAAGCGCGTGTATGTTCTCTCCCTACTCTCGCTTAAGCTAATCTGGGAGGCAGATTTGGACAACTTTGGCTTCCGGCTGGGCTACAGCAACTTAGTAGATATCTCGTACGGTGGTGAGCTTGTGCTTGCTAACGCTTTTGGTGAGATAGAACGCTTCTCTCTGCTCGCCGAGGCAACCGCAATGGAACGTGCTATGCTTGAGTCCATGTCTATTAAGATGCGTTTGTACCTGCCTGAGCGTGCGACCATCTTTGATCAAGCTGGCTTACCTCCAGCGACTGATAGCGGCAAAAAGCGAGGCATTGCAGCAGATGCAGGAAAAATATTCAAAAAGTTGGTCTTCAGCGTCACCCAAGAGGTCACAGACTTGAACAAAATCTTTCATTTTTCATCGGAGGAGGACGATCGCAGGCGGCTCATTAGAGACCGGTGTATCTCGGTCAAAGATGCTACAAGTGCTACATCACAAACTGAAATGGAATTGAATACCACAACAGACACGCTCATGCAGGCGCAGCAGGTAAGAAGCAGGTGCTGATGTGAAATTGGTTTCTTGTACTAATCTGTCGTTTATGTGTGGCTGTCCTGCATAGCGGCTTGCAGAACGCGGGGAAAAGCTGAACGATTTAGGACTGAAAGCGCAGCAGATGAAGAAGATGTCTGAGGACTTTTATCAGACGATGAAAGCTTTCAACGAGAAGAATGCCAGCAAAAAGTGGTATGAATTATAGCCAGAGAGAGGGTGGTGCAGGTTGTAGCAGGCAGGTAAACTACAGCACCATTAGTTTGTAACAAAATGCACACATTAGCAATGAGTTAGTCGTACTTGACCCATACGAGCGTAAGTCCGTGTGGTGGCGCGCCTTGGCCTGCTTTCGCTCGATTCTTGGCCGCCAAGATCTTTGGGATCTCTTCGGCCTTCAGTCTGCCCAACCCGACGTCTACTATCGTGCCCACCAGGTTCCGCACCATCTTGTACTTGAACCTATTGCCCTCAAAGACCAGTCGTATCCTAGTAGCCACGTCCTCTTCGTACTGGGCACCCTCTTTGTCGTCTTTCTTCTCAGTGTGAAGCTCAATGGTCGAAATCGTGCAGATGTTGCCTCGTCCTCCATCTCTATCTTTCTGCGAAGTGAAGGATGAAAAGTCTTTTGTTGAGGGCGGCGCCGTTAAGTGACTCACAGCCAACTGCATCTTGGCCACATCCAGCTGCTTGCAAATGTGCCACACATTACGACGGTAAGCCACAGGCCGCAGGCCACCCGCGACTAGTTCGTACTCGTAGCGTTTGCACGTAGCGTCTGTGTGCGGATCGAAATTGGCTTGGGTCTGTGGCATCGTGATCACACTGCGACACATGACGTCCTGGGGCAGGCGCGTGTTGAGGGCGTCACGGAAGACGCGGTCCGATTCGACACAGCGACTAACAAGCACGATCACCTGACCCCGTGCATGGACGCCCGTATCCGTGCGGGAGGCAAAGCGCAGTCTTGCCAGTTCTGTCTCACCTGTGGTGCGATTGATCGCATCCTCGATAACTTCTTGCACGGTTCGCATTATTCGGGGCTGATCCTGCGCCTGAAAGCCGCAAAAGTCGGTACCATCGTACTCGAAGATGCAGCGACGGCGAATCCACGGACCGTTGACGTCCACGCGCAGGAAGGCGCTGGGTGGCATGCTGTACCGTCGGCCGCCATTCATCACTTACGGGTTCAATAGCAAGTGGATCAGTTCACAAAAAACGTTATTGATGGCTATTTTTTCCTCCAAGACATGGCATCGCTACCGCTCTTCATTACAGTAGACACTAAATGTTCACTAGATGACATTCTTTTCCATGACTTTGTGTCATTGCATCAGACATCGGTGGGAGCTCTGTGATGTCATGTTCGTCGGCGCCCGGTGATGGTAAGTAGAAGTCGTGCAATATGCAGGTGTTGACAGAAACCATTGTTTGAGAGCAGAGCGCTGTGTGCGATGCCATTGCGATGACGGCAACGGCAACCGAGAGCAAGGTCAGAGTGGAAGCACTTGCCTTTTCCAGTTGCAAGCTTGTGAGAGTCTGCAAGAAGGATGCACTACTTCTGCCGTCATGACACCTTAAAACGGAATGCATTAGCGCAAGAAGCAAAAGCAATTGACACGAACACCGCAGTTGAAAACGGATGCTTATAGCTCTCTGCGATAACAGAAAGCATGCATGAACAAAAGAGTATTCTTGTGGCTCAGAAAGGCAAGCTAGTACTTCAGCACTGTCACCGGCAGCCCTACTACCTAGATGGCTTACGAATGGTACTCAGCTCCTGCTATTCGCCATAACCACATAATCTATACCCATCCACATTACGTGTGTTGCGATTGCTATTGCTTGCACGCATATTTCTTGCACGGGTCACGCCACTTGCGCTTGATCTGGATATTGTAATGCTTCTCCCGTCACACTCAAAGGGTAGGCGTGCTCTCTCTTGGTACACTAGCACTTCACGATCAACAGCAACAGACCTGAAGTGTCTACGAGTTCCTTTGATCTCCATTAAACCGGACTGGTAGATGCTGGAATGATGCCAGCAATCTTGGCAAGAAACTGGAGCTTGTGGACTTGATGGATGTGTGAAGCCTCTACAGCAACAACATTCAGCAGGACATAGGTCATCTTATGACTACATGATTTAGCTACTTGGTGGTCGCGAAGTTGTTAAAGAGTGCAATTAGAGCGTACTGGTGCTTTTTGAATAGCTCATCCCTGGATTCCACGAGCTTTTGACGATGAACCCATGGTCACAATCAAAAGCTACTTGATTGTTGCTCGAGCAGTATACTCCTAGCTGTGAAGACGAGAAACTACAGTGAGGAGCATCCAAAGCAGCAAGGTTCAACCACAGTGAATTCGATGATTACCAAATGCACGTTGATGACGATAAAGGACCTTGTCAATTCACGATTGTGCAAGTCCTGTATCATCTGTCGCAGTCTAGTCACCAGAAGCCACTCAATGTTGAAACAGTGGCGGCTTCACCACCAACCAATTGCTGAACAGTCTGCTGTCAAGTCTTTATAAAGTCTGCCGTCAAAGCTCCACGAGAAAGCGGTGCCGAATATACAAAGCGCAAATATAAACAAGATCTGCAAGTTTGACAAGAGCATCCCGTGGCTATTAGCTTCTTCGACTGAAGTGTGTGGCTGCCAGATCCTGATTGAGGAAACTTGTTGACGACACTTTCATTGTGGACGGACGGACGGACTGTCTGGCTGCCTACGACGGTCCAACTGCTTACAGAAAAGAAGCAGAGACTAGAAGATGACATTAGCCGTTGCATGGAGGTGGTTGTCCGCTAGGCCCAACGGTATCTTGGCACTTTTGACGGCGCTTCAGGCACACGACTCGGGTACAGTCGCTCAAGACAAGATTCCGAATTCGTCCGATCTTCCAGGTGCCATCCGCTGCGTCGTGTTGGTCATAGAATTGACATTCGTCAGTAGTGGCGCTTTCTTCCTGCTACTGAGTAGCTCTGTCCTTGGATTGCTAGCGCGCAGTCTCCAACACGCTTTGCTTGCTGCAGTTAATGCCCAGATTGTGCCGGACGATGCTGTCGTCCATATCTGCGAGACTATGATGTTCGGGTGGGGACTTGTGACGTTCATGAGCTGGTTCTTCTGCCAAACGAAGCGTAACCTCGTGCAAAGACTCGCGGAGTACGGATCGAGCGACACAAAGTCTTGCATCACGTCGGTTGCGGTACACTTCACGGCCATCGTGGTGCTCTTATTCTTGCAGCTGCAGACTGAAGCGCAGGTTTTAGTGTCTTTGAAAAATGTTGAGACTGTGGTGTATCGGCCGGATGGATCGTTCGCTACAGCGGAGATCATGCAAAACCTACTGCTTGGTCCGATAAAGGAAGAGCTCTTTTTTCGAGGAGCGATTGAGCTGGTGGCTATTAATCGATTGCAAAATGCTAAATGGAGTGCTGCAATTTCCGCTGTATTGTTTGCCGCTATCCATTTGGTTAATGCAAGGCATCCTCGAACGCAATACTCAGCGAGCTACGTGGCATTCCAGGTGCTCTGGGCGTTCCTAGTTGGGCTTTATCTAGCGCTTACACTTGCAGTCTCCGGTTCGATGGTGAAGTGCCTTGTCTTGCATGTAACGAACAACATATTTGCCTTAGGAGTGTCCAAGACAAATGCAGTAGATCTTGTGCAGCCTCTTACTGTTTTCTTCATACTGTCTGCACTGGCAATTTATTCCTTGGCGATTTCAAGACAGCTACAACTACTTTGCGTGTGCAACTGCAAAGAAAAACAGCCATCAAGAAATCATGAAGAGTGAATATGGGACTTTGATAAAGCAAAGGAATGCAATTGTGTTCTATAACAACAAAGATTGGACCTAAAGTCCTCAGGTCACGTGTAGTTTCTAATCGATGTGGCTCCGTCCTCGGAGGTCCAACTTTCATGCGTAGCTACCGGTCGAGATAGGCTCAATCACCACAGTCTCACCGAACTGAGATCCGGTCGATACGCAGGTCGCGTAAAAGGAAGTTGCCAGACAAGCGACGACCTGATAATGCGAAGTACAGCGTGCCTCCGAAAAAGCTCGGAGATACATCGCTGTGAGCAAAGCAAGCAACACTTTTCGGATCATTTCAGAAGCCCCGTTACTGGCTCCAATCCAAATTGTACCCTCAATAATGGGACTTTACCACGACAATTTCAACACGCTGGCAGCACTTGTTGCTATCTACAAAAGACTTAAAGGTTGTTGTACATGTCCTCATCCATATCGTTCTCATCGCCGCTGGTTTTACCGTTGACATGCTCATTGTACATCTTTTGCGATAGCAAAAAGTTGACACGGGGTCTCAAACTAAGCTGCAGCGGTCAAACTCATTGTCTCATCATCGGTCTACAGTCGTCATTAATGCAAGATGGCATCATTATCCATCGAGCTTGTTATCGCAGTCTCCACGCCAATCCGTTCTGCTGGGATTCAAAATGCTGCCGTCATAGCCGCTGCTGTTCAGACATGCCTCAACTCTCGAGAACCATCATACACAGCTAATACATCGCTTCCGACGGCTGAACAGAAAGACATTTCAGCAGCAGCTAGTGCTCAGGTGTCTTTTGTAATGGTCTCAAAGGCCAAAAGCACCACACACACCCACAGCATAGCTGGTGTTTAAACGAAAAAAAAACCTGCTGAATGCATGATTTTACACTTCCACGTGCCAAATTTGCTCCCCAACCACACAAGACACTCTATGCCCTATTCTCGTGCTCCATGTACTGCACTCGTTGCTGACGTAGGTCTGATGATGGGGACTCGTGCGTCATAGCACCGGATCTGTCACAACCTGTTTCAGTCTCTGCTACTAGTTTGACCTCAAAATAGTGTGCAATTATTAGCGCAATCAGCGCATTGTTCGTAATGTTCACACACGCTACACATGGACCCGTGATCCACTCCAGTGCAGCCAAAAACGCTACCAAAACAGCTCTCAACTCAGCCGAAACTCCAAACACAACGCTTAATGTTGTCGCCAGCGCCGCTGTCTTGCTTCCACCAGGTAGCGGAGAAATCACAATAGTAACAAGTACATTAGTAAACACCATTGCTGCAATGCTGTATGTCGAATGTGACGTTATCATTTCATCTTCATTCATTACGGGACTTGAAGCGGACAGAACAAACAGCGTGCTGACTGACAGATAGAGAGCAGTACCCGTCTGGTTGAGCACCGTGCTCGCGGAGCAAACGATAAACGCTAGCGAAGGTGAGACGCGCTTACTTGCTGCAACGGCTGAAACTGTAGCTGGCAACGCCACAAAAGATGATCCGGAGCTTAGGGCCAAAAGTTGCGCAGGCAAGAGGTGCTCAAGGAACGCGAACGGGTTGGATCGAGTGCACAGTGTGGCCAATAATATCACGACGACCACGTCCAAAACCAAAGCAAGAAGAAGCACCGCAATGAGCGCCAAGGCGGCAGCAACAGCCGTGCCATCGCCACTGGTGAATAAATACGGGACAGCCGATGGTTGAAGCAGTACACTACTGATCATAAAGGCAACACTGACGGGTAGATACGTGTGAAGCCAACTGAGCACGCAACACCCTGCAGCTTCTGCCTGCGCAACTAGTTGCAGTATCATCGATTCCTGTATCTGCTCAAGTTCTTCGTCGTAAAGATGATGACCGTCTTCTCTTTCTTGTCTTTTTTCCTCCACAAAAGAACCAGTCAACGCTGCGCCAAGTGCAAGGCCACAAACCAAAAGGCCTAGCACATCTCCACCGATGAACGAGTCGAGCAAACTCCCTGGAAAAAGGCTTTCCGAGACGTTTGCAACCTGCTCCGAAATACCCGACGCCGTCTGCGTCACTGAGGCTGTCACAAACGTCCGTGCCACATCGTCCAGCACAAAAGTCGTTGCGTTTGCTGAGCATGCAAGCTTTCCGTCGCTCTGTAGTTCTACAAATCCACTGGTCACGTTCTTAGGACACTCAAATGCCACCGCAGGGCCCAAGAGCGGTATGCCCCAGACATGCGCCAGTGTCGGGATAATGCTCTGCAAAGCCACCGCTAGAATTGTGCCCAAGCCGCTTGCAAACACCGTAGCAAGCGCACATATCATAAGTGTCACGCCTGCTACTTTTAACCAATGAAAAGAGAGCTGCACATGCGACCCCGTAATCGTCGCATGCAGTGTCATCAATGGCAGCGTGATTCCCGCAAATGTTTGAAGTAGTAAATTTCCAGGAAACCAAAGTAGCCAACGCACAGCCACAGCAGATCGAAAACCGGATACAGTAACACCTAAAGACAAGAAGACGCCACAGAAAAGACCGAGAAAGAGTGGTAGTAGACGTAATGTCGCCATACAAGAGAAAGAATTGCCGCTTAAAGGTGAAGAAGAAGAAGAAGAAAAAGGAGAAGACGGCATGTCACTAATAATGGCAATGTGTTTGTTGTAGATGACCAGCTATTTCATGTAGATGACCAGCTATTTCATGTAGATGACCAGCTATTTTATGTAGAAGAGAGAGCATTAACGAGGGTAGACGACGTCTAGTGCATATGTTAGTTAACATCTTGGTGAGCTCCTGGGGGAGGAATAGAAATACATTCTATTTAGAAATATTATCTCGAGTTAAGGTTATGTGTGTGCCACAGAAATTGGAACTTTCTTACCTTTTTAACTAAGTAAACATGTATACTATATAAAAGGTCCAGAATCTAAGCACCGTCTATTTCATCTATCAATCTATCACTCATGGCAAAGGTTACGACACTAAAAGCAACAGGGCTCGTAGCGCGTAGTGGAAGATTCTTTTTCGGATTTATGGCTGCTCGTATGTCGCTCTCTGTGTCCTCTACCTTTTCATGTATTTCTTTTGCTTTTTAACTCCGTCTCAAACCAATACAATGACGCAGTAATTGGAACGTTTCGAGCGCTAGCAGATAATAAAGTGCGCGATGTATTTTCGAGGTGGTTGAGCCGCATGTTACAATTGATTGATACTTTGTCCAAGTCTAAAATGAGTTGCTGTTTCATTGTCGCTATACAGAAGTATGAAAGCGCTGCTGGTCCTGACGTTCGTGCTGTCTGCTGTACTGCACATTTTACTCTTGCCCGTCGAGTGGATCAGTATGCTTTTCCTTGAGCCAGAGACAGTCGATGCCACTGTGCGCACCTTTCGCTATGCAGCAGCCTCTACTGTTCCGTTCCTACTTGTTGGTGTGTACCGCTACTTTAGCGTCAAAATATTTGAAAACGCTTTTTTTTGCGGGATTGGCTACACGTGACCCGGAACTTGCCAAGACGATTCAAAAGGTACAAGTTCATTGGTAACGGCTCTTCACTATTGATGCATATCTAACTAGTTCCTTATTATGTAATTGCTACATGCAGAGAAAAGCAATCTACTGGGACTGGGAGTATGCCCGCCATCTGATGCGCTTTGGACTCCGCCAGCTTGGCTTTGGGCTTGTGGTTTTGATGGCGAAACCGCTTTTAGGTGTCTTGATCCCCGTCGTACAGTTTGGCTATCGGTACGGCATTGTTGCAGTGAGTGTGCTTGTGTCATCAGGTAGCTGACGGATTGGTGTGGTAGCATTCGACACATGGAAATGGCGTTCCTAGTCCCCATTTTCGTCGCCTTTGTTGTTCCGACAACGCGAGAAACAGCATTGCAGCTTGTGCACATGTGGCTAGATTCGCGAGCCATTATCCGCGAGCTCCTTGACCCAATTATAGCCCGTCTCAAATCGGCAGCGAAACACAAAGATCCCAATGTTAACACCGATCTACTTACCGATATGGAAATTGGCAGTGACGAGTATCATAGCCAGAAGAAGCAGTGGGATTGGCATCAGAGCGGGAGCGATGCTGCACGACTTGGCTTTGGACTTGTCTTTTGCTATATGTTGCAAGTGCCTTTTCTCGGACCATTTGCGTGGTTCATGGGTTTTGCTTCTGCTGGATTATTTGCTCCAGAGCTTGTGGAGCTTCATGCTTTCAACGATGCGATAAAAAGACAGTAGTTTACTTAAGAATGTCAATCATCATTTGTACTGGAAGAAGTTCAGAACATGATTACGTTAACACATACCGACTATACCGGTATAAAACCCATCCGTCCAAAGCTTCAAGTCCATTGAAAGTGTCGCATTTCGTTCATCCATTTGTCCTGTCATTTAATATTCGTGTCCATGCTGCAGTTTCTCGCTAACATCGATAGTAATCTCTTTGTAGGGGCCGGTGTGGCTGTAATTGCCGTAATAGCAATGAAATATATGAATGCACGTGCTGATGCAGCTCAGCATCATGCCTATGAAGTAGCCAAAGCACGACAGGAAGCACTTAAAGTAGAGCGTGAGAAACTCATTAAACGACGGTATTTCTCGCTTGAAGAGCTATTGCCTTATAATGGTGAAGATGGAAGACCTATTTACATTGCAATACTAGATGAAGTCTACGATGTAAGTTGTAAACGTGATTTCTATGGACCGGGTGAAGGTTATCACCTTTTTGCAGGACGAGATGCATCCCGAGCGTTGGCCAAGATGTCCTTTGAGAAGGAAGATCTGGAGAGCAATGACCTATCAGATCTAAGCTTTATGGACAAAGAGACACTTAATGACTGGGTTACGAAGTTTTCAGTCTATAATAAGTATCCGAACGTAGGACGCGTACTACGTTGTCGTGACCTGACGCTTCAGCAGCTCAAACAGTTTAACGGCTTGGATAATCCACGGAAGACTGTTTACGTAGCTGTAAATGGTAACATATATGACGTAACACTCGACGGACTGGACCACTATGGCCCAGACGGAGGCTACAAGCAGTTTGCGGGTCGAGATTGCTCTCGATCACTCGCGTGCATGTCGTTCTTGGACGAGTATTTGGACAACCCGACGCTCGATGGGATCACGGAGCAGCAGCGTGAGGTGCTTAACAAGTGGGAGGAGAAGTTCAAGGAAAAGTACCCGGTGGTGGGCAAGATTATCAAGTAGGAGAGCAAAGCACGACGTTGTTGTCAGTGAGCAAGGCATTACCTCAATTGCTTTAAGCGTTAATTTGTGTTTCGTTTTACGTACTTGTCCCTTGTGGCGTGTGTATTCAATCTAACGCTAATGCTAGTGCACTATGTGTCCATTTGTTGTAGCAGGAGACAATGCATTTAGTTGCAATGTCGACGTCTAAAGGAAGGCAAGACAGTGTTTCACAATAGCCGCTATTCCTTCAGTACCTCAGTGTAGAGCAGCTCGCTGTTTTAAATAGAGCAACGCATATACGTCTTAGTTCAGCGCAAAGTCTACGATGCAAGCTTTCAGCCGAGAAGTGTCTAAACCTTCAGACTGACAAGTGCAAGTACACGGCCATGTATCTTGGTCTTACTCATGACAATCTTCTGTTTTTGATCGGAGCAGACAATTCACAGGTGGAGAAGCATTTTGACGTTCTGTATGATATGGAATGGGGTTTAGCGGCATTGAGAGCAGTAAGACCAATGTGCAGGCCAGAACGCGACTAAGCGACATTATGAAGAAAGCAAGTGATTGTGGGTAGCTTGAAGCTTCAGGCTGACCACGCAAACGGTAGCAAAAGTCATCGTTGCAGTCGTCTACATCTGATGCTAAAGATTATCGCGTCACTGGAACTGCAGGATTCAGCTGACATTACGGTTCACAGCAGAATAAGAGGAGGTACACGATGGTGTTATTGAGCTTACTTTTAAAACGCTTACGGAGATATACATGAGCTCACTTGTTTTCTTGTTGTCTACAGGCCCGCCTTTCGCATGATGCTGCCGTAGCCCTACGTCTCCAGCTTCTGCTTGTACCGACGCCAGAGCAAGACGCCTCCACTTATCTCCAGGACACCGACAATGATAAGCACGATGAGGCCCACCAGAAACGTTTTGACGAGAGTGAGCGTGTTTTTGAATGTGTCAAGCACACTTTCTTTGGCCTCGCCAGCTTCCTGCACCCAATACGTAGGCAGCACCACATCCGTTGGCAGCTTGGGCCACAGCACGTCACTCATGGACGCGTTGGGTACAGACATGGAGGCTGCCAGCGCATACGAGATCTGCGAGCGTTTGCGAGCGCGCATGGTCTGACCCGTGCCTGACTCAATGTCGACGAAGGTACCGTACGCGCTGTGGAAGCTCTCAAGGAGGTTGCCTTCGGTGTCGTACATGCTGTCCGCCGTCATCACGATGCCATTAGTGTTCGTCATCTGCACGGCCTCTAGCAGTGACGAATCGCCGTAGATGAAGAACGGACCGGACATGTACGATAGGAAACCCGTGACGAAGCTGAGTTGGTGCAATCCGTTGACTGGAATGCCCGTACCAATGTCAGCGTTACTGTCAGTATAGTCAAAAGTGTCGACCGGCGTGCCAAAGCGGTGCAGAGAGACCCCATCGAAGTCTACTTTCGTGTTTGTACTGGAAACTGTGATGTAGATCTTGGCAGGACCTATGTACGAGTCGAACGAGTCGGCTGTGGTATGCTTAGCCATTCCGTTGATCGTCACCCCACCGGGTTTGAGTCCCGTGCTGTCTGTACCCGACACAGTGAAGCATGTGATGTTTGCAACAGGTGAGTCGCAGTTGGCATAGCTCGAAAACGCATTGATCTCATCTAGCGTCGGGTTACGACGCTCGCCTAGGTTCACCCACACAGGCGCGACAGTAATGCCGTTGTACTCCACGTACGTTCCGATCTTGGTCAGGTCGTCACATCCCGTGCGCTTGACGTAGTCACTGAGGATTGATGCGTCAGGTGCAGTTTTCGAGTAGTCCATGCCAGAGCTCTCGGCGATGCCGGGAAGAGGTGCAGCGCATAGACCTAGACTCTCACATAGGCCGCAAGTGGTCGCGGCAAAGTTGGCTGCTTCGGCGGCGCCGTACTCAGCAGCGTAAATGGATTCGACGATGGCACAGGTAATGTTGTTGGTTGCCACTACAGCCGCACCTTTGCTGCACTGAGAGCAAGCCGCTGTGATAGCCCGGCAGTCGTCACCACTGCAGGACGCGCACTCCGCGTTCATGCTGGGTTTGCACGTCCCGACGTAGTTGGCACCTAGGATAATACCAGCCATCAGACTCGGGTAGCCTAGTGCCCACTGCGATGCCGTTCGCTTGACAAAGAGGCCATTGTATGCGAAACCAGAGAGGTCCAAGTTGGCGATGGCTGTCGGGCCAGAGGTCAAGAAGTTCAACACGGTGCTGCCGTTGGTCACTGTCTTCATGGCTACCGGGTCCAGCGAGTTAAGGCCGTTCAGCCAGCGCATCATCTGCTTACCATGCTCAGCAACGGTTGCGGTGATCTCTGTCGTGTTTTGCCCAGCGGCAAAAGATTGCGCCGCCACCGATGCCAACAAGTTGAACTCACCGCCGGTTGCAGCTATGACACTGAAGTATCCAGTGTCGAAACTCACAATCTCGTCCGAGGCAGAACATCCATCGCAGCTCTTTTCAGCCTCGAACGTGTGGTATGTGTAGGTCTTGTAGGTAACAGTGGAGGCGTCATTGGACAGTGACACGTCCAGCTTCATCTCACGGCGACGATATACGTACGGCCCCATCTCCTGCACTTGCAGTTTGGCATTTATAGCAAGATAATCCTCGGCGTTGGTGGCATTAAGCATGTACACGGACAAATAGTAAGGCGAACAGTCATCACAATCTCCGTACGGGTCTAGATAGACTTCCTCGGATACTTCCTTGTCAGAGCAGCGAACGACTTGGTTCTTCACGGCTGAATTGACATATGCAGGTAAGGCAGTACCGTATAGAATACCACTGACAATTGTTAAGGCACCCGTGATAATCAGAAGAATGGCCCAGACTTTTTGATTACAACATGGTCGTTCTTGGGACGCCTTGTCTTGAATCTTTGAAAATGCAACGGGTACGTCCTTTTCAAGCTGTTCAAAGTCAGCATTACTATGTTCCTTAGGTGTGTGTATGTCCACTTGATGAGAACGACTGAAGTTCATCGTACTAAAAGGCCGTAAATTTGTAAATGAGCATCAAGCAAGTAACTATGAGAGCAATTCTTGTATGTAGATATTCAATGGTAAGAGACAACTTTAGTTGAATGACTGTAATGTGGTAGTAGTACATATTGTTAAATCAAACAGAAAAGTACCTTGATGACCCGAGATTTTTGGGTCAAGCATGAGTTGACAACGAGAGAAGATTTGAGATATTCTAATGGACGGTAATGGGGAGTGTTCAGCATGAATGGAATGATTATATGAGGACAGTGGAATGACCTATCATTACATAAAACAGACGATTGATTACAATCCGTCAAAAAAGATTGCAGAACCGGGCCAAATGCTTCCATATGTCGCCGTAGGTGCTAAATAATCACTATTTTGCGACTTTACGTTGAACAAAGACGTACCATTTTCCATAATCTAGTGACGACAGACACACTTGAAGCCTTGTGCCATCATTCATTAGTGCAGAGTGGGAGATATAGTTGTGCACTTTGTGAATATGCTCACTACGATTGACAACAAAGTAACATGTCGAATGTGCAAGGTGACATATCGATCGATACCTTGTAACTCTCAAGAAAATGGTAGAAATGAAGCTCAACGTTTGTTAAGGCGAGACTGACTGGTGTAGTACAGTTGTAGATCTAGCTACGCAAAGCTCAAGCTTTGAATGCCTGCGTGTCCTTGAGAAGAGACCATGTAACTTCATGGAGAGATAGTTAGCTCTACATAACAACAATTGTCTTCAAAAGTAAATGTCTACATACACATAAGCCACCAATTTGTAGCCATTAAATGATATTCGCCTTCTTTGCCATGATATGATGATACTCGCAAGTGTGAGTTCACCATGTTTTATCTAAATGACGTTCTTTTGACGACGACGCTCGAAGAAAGCACCCAAGCCGACAAGCACTAAGCCTACCACAATGCCAACCGTAAGCACAGGCAGCAGTGAGGAGAGCAACGAAGCCAACGCGTTGTAGCTATTTACGCGCGAGCCTGTGATAACTGAACCTTCCTGACCCCAGAAGATCGGAATCACCACTTCTGCTGGTATCGCCGGGTACAGCACGTCACTCATGGCGTTTGAGCTGTTCAGAGACGAGGCTGATAGCGCGTATGATGCCATTAACCGCTTGTACGCACGCATTGTCTTGCCTGTACCGGCCTCAATATCCACGAACGTCTCGTACTTGTCCGAGTACGAGGTCTGCACAGCGCCAGCGCTATCGTACAGCGTATCTTGACTCACCTTTACACCATTACTCATCGTGATCTCCACATTTGTCATCAATGTCTTGTCACCATACAGAAACATCGGATACGATATATATGCCAGAAAACCTACGATAAAGGCCAATGACTGGACACCATCCACTGGGTAGGCCGTACCCATGTTGGCGTTCTCGGTAGACGCTGTGAGCATATCAACCGAAGGACGGAAGCGGTGCAGCGTGATGCCTTGGTACTCCACCTCCTCGTGCTGATTGAATAGCGTCACGTTCTGCTTGCCTTGGCTGAGGTAAATCGTAAGACCCTCGACAGAAATCTCATTTTCAAAGCCAGTAAGGCTTACACCGCCAGGAGCGATACCAGTGGCATCATTGCCGCGCACCGGGCTGCATGTCAAGTTGGACGTGGGGGCCGCGCAGTTGCCGTAAGTAGCGAAGTCAGCTATTTCCGTCAGTGTCGGGTTTCGACGCTCACCCAAATCTGCCCACAGTGCAGTGGTTTTGTAGCCATCAAATTGCTCGTACTCATTGATAAAGTTCGCGTCATCACAGCCTGTGCGAAGCGTGTACGTGCCGAGGCTTGACGCATTAGGAGCTGTCGTGGAATAGTCGCGGCCGCTAGACTCAACAGCACCAGGAAGCGGAGCGGCGCACAAACCGAGCGAGCTACATAGCCGGCATGTGCTCGAAGCAAAGCTGACAGCCTCCTTAGCGCCATATGCGGTGGCATACGTGTCCTCGATGATGGCGCAGGTCTCCTCGTTGACTGCTACAACGCTGGCACCAAGTTTGCATTTCAAGCACTCTCCCTCAATTACGAGACACTCGACGGTCGTGCTGTTAACACACGCAGCACACTGTTCGTTGAGGCCACCCTCAACAGCACACACACTGACGTAGTTGGAGCCAAGACCCAAGCCAGCGAGTAGACTTGGGTAGCCCAGAGCCCACTGAGAGACTGTACGCTTGGCGAAAGAGTCCATTGTAGGCGAAACCCGTGAGATCCAAGTCGGCGATGGCGTCTGGTCCGGTTGCAAGAAATCTCAGTACGGCGCTATTGTTGGTCACCGCGCGCATGGCCTCTGGGTCCATCGAGTTGAGACCGTTGACCCAGCGCATCATCTGTGGACCTTTTTCGGCCACAATGGCCATAGCTACAGTACTATTACTAATCGAGGCGAATGAACCTAGCGCCAGTCTCACGAGGAAGGCCGCCTCACCACCAGCATGCGCGATAACACTCATATAGCCCAAGTCCAGAGTCGTGACTTCGTCGTCATCTGAACACTCGTCGCAGCTCATTTCTGGTACAAATGTGTGATACGAGTACTGTTTGAAGCTAACTCGTTTGCCATCGTCAAAGAACGTAACATCTAGCTTAAGTTGACGACGACGATACACGTAAGGTCCCATTTCACGGACTTGAAGGATATCATCGTCTCCAGTAAGATAAGCTTCAGCGTTTGTCGCGTTCATCATATGCAGGCTATAGTAATACGGTACACAGTCATCACAGTCACCATATGGGTCCAAGTAGCTCTCCTTGGCGCCATCCAAAGGTTCGCAGATCACAACCCCATTCTTCACTGCGTTATCTATCACAGCTGGTATGACTGTGCCATAGAGCATTGCAATTACAGCAATCAAGATGCCAATGATAATGAGACCAAGACCAAGCGAACAGCAACAGAAACGACGTTGTTCATATTTTATAGTCTTGTCCGAGTACGCGGTTTGAGGTGAGTGAACAACCATTGAGTGAGTTTAAAACACGGCAAATCCAACAATGGCAGGACCAGGTCAGTCTTCGATGCTAGTGTGCTGACACTGTTGTGACTACAATACCAGCTGTTAGGACCTGCCATGCAGGACAATAAAATCAGCCAGACACGATGACTTTAAGAAAACCTTTTGAGATTGGCAGAGTCGTTTAACTAAATGTCGGGTTTAAACTCTGGTCGGGGGGGAGGGGGCCGTAGAGTATTTTTTGAAGGCCAGTTACCCTACTTTTATGTCGAGTTAAAATTCTAACCACTTGTTGGTGTATTATTCTGTCCATTCATATAAATGTTTCAGAGTCAGGATTATCAAAAGTAAGCATAGTGGACAGTAAATAATGCCAATTTGTGCTCACATTAGAAGTGCAAGTGCAATAACTCAACTTGAACAGAGTCTGCAAAGAAAGGCAGTATCTGGCTCTCCTGCGACCAGTCACGTGACACTTGGTGGAACAGCACGAGTACTTGCAAGTGATGGTTGACGTCATGTCAGTTGGATTGATGCATGTTTACGAATTGTGCTCCATAGAAATTGCCATTGCCACATTTATAACTACAAAAATCAGCATATATAAGATAGCTATCATCGACATTGCTGCATTGTAGTATTACATACCCACGACAAAAAAAATGGTCGTTAAATTTAGTCTTACCGCTTACTCAATTAGTCAATTAGGTCAATTGGGTCAATTAGGTCAACTTGGTACAATTGTGCACAAAAAAGACTAAATAATTACTACCATAGTAATATATTTTGTATTTGCATATCATAGTCTCTCAATTACTATTTTTTGTATGTAAAATAGTAATCGTAAATAAAAGCCACGTGATCGAAACACTAATGGCGTCTGAGGATGAGTATGATTTTGACTATAGCGATGAAGACGAGGACATGGAGGACGCTGAGACTGCAGACTTGCATGTACAGATTGAGAATGCTTATTACTTAGCAAAGCAGCTACTTGAGAACGAACCGCCTGAGCGAGAAGCCGCTTTGGGAGCGCTAGAACAAGTGCTACAGCTACAGAGTGAGCAGACCGATTGGGGTTTTAAAGCTCTCAAACGGACGGTAAAGCTGCTGTTTGAAATGCAACGACATGATGAAGCCATGCGGAGATATGATGAGCTACTGGGTTACACGAAGACAGCAGTGACACGGAACGTAGGGGAGAAGGGGATTAATAGTATTCTGGACTTTGTATCGACGAGCAAGGCAAGATGGAGATTGTTATATTGTGTACAAGATCTTGTAGAGCTTCAGAATGACTGACTATTATTGAATTAATGCAATAGAATTGGGAGATTCTGCAAAGGTTTTATGAAACGACGTTAGAGACGCTCAAGGAAGCGAGGAACGAGGTGAGGGAGAAAAAGAATTGTGTGGCTTGTGAAGATGGCACTTGATGGCTCATTAGTCTCTATCGCTGCTATATAGAGGTTATGGTTTAAGACAAGTGTCAAGTTGGGTAACCTATTGTACGAGATTGGAGACTTTTCGAGGCTGAGCAAGGTGATGGGAAGGAGATTGGTGCCTGATCTAAAGCATATCTGACTAGATGACATATATTTCCGTGTGCAGATAATTAAGGAGCTGCTGGCATCGTGCAGCGATGAGGACGGAGATGATGGTGTTAGGAAAAACTCACAGGTAGAATGGGTGCTGCAATATTCATCATGTACATGGTCGCATATGCTGATTTTGCATTCTGATGTTGTAGTTATTAGAGGTGTATGCGCTACAGATTCAGATGTACACGGCACAGAAGGACAACAAGAAACTAGTATCGATCTACGAAAAAGCATTACGGATCAAGTCAGGCGTTGCGCATCCGGTAAATAGGCATGCTAAGTTGAAAACGTGGTTGTAGACATTTTTTGATCCTGGTTGTTTCTTTGTGGATGTAGAAAATTATTGGTGTCATTCACGAATGTGGCGGTAAAATGTACATGATGCAACGAGAGTGGGACAAAGCTCGTAGTGACTTCTTCTCTGGATTCAAGAGCTATGACGAAGCTGGTGAACCGCGGCGGCTTCAGTGTCTGAAGTACTTGGTGCTTGCCAACATGCTGAGTGAATCTCAAGTCAACGTATTTGACTCACAGGAGGCCAAACCGTACGAAAATGACAAGGAGATTGTGGCGATGACGATGCTGACAGATGCGTTTTTGCACAACGAAATCAAGACTTTCGAGCACGTGCTGACACGGAATCAGGAAGCCATTATGGATGACCCTTTCATTAAGCACTACATTGACAGTCTGTTGCGAACAATTCGCAGCAAGGTGCTACTGAAAATTGTCAAGCCCTATCGCACCATGGATACGCAGTACATTGCACGCGAGCTAAACGGTATCCCGCTTTCGGAGGTGGAATCATTATTGTCAGCGCTGGTGTTGGACAAGAAAATTGAAGCACGCATCGATCAGATTCATCATACGCTTGTGCTGATGGACCGCAAGCCTGAGGAGAAGTTCCAAACATCTATTCAGGGTTGGTGCAATGCCCTCGAGAAGTTTTATTCAGTGACGGTGGACCGCATTAGCACTGGGATGTGAACATCTTCTACGAGTTTTCACGTTTTCTTCCAAGTATAAGAACAGTAGTTTTGTTTACTCTTAATGGGGTCGCTATGTGACTAAGGAAAACAACCACACGTACGTGTAAATGTCTTTCTAAACCGAAATTCTAAATGTATCACCGCAAAACCCAGTCTTCACCGCCATTTGCCTCTTCCAAGCATTGCCATGTAGCAAAGTTGTGGCTTTGTACGTTCAACAGCATTATCTGACAGATAACCGCAACTCTTTTTATCTTAACCTTGGCTTTCATCTTGGCACACAAAGATTGGAACTCAGCATTCTGCAACTGCTGGACGCTGCGTGGAGTAAAAATGCTGCACTTGACGAGCTTCTTCAGCCTGCCGAGAGGCAATTTGCCATGCGGAACCGATACAGAGGACCGACCACACGGACCAACACAAACAGAAACGGAATCCAATCCTATAAGCGCATGCTTCGTCACAGTACTCAAAGTAACTGTTCGGCGATCCCTGTTTTGAAATGACCCACTCCATGATCAGGCCCGTGAGGTATGGCGAGAGCGAGTACCCAAACAGATTGAAGATCATAACAGAAAACGAGGAAGCGAGCGCACGGTGCTCAGCAGGCACTACCGAAATGAAGATGCCAGTGCAAGCTGGTAGGATAGCACCCCCGAAGAAAAGCAACAGCCACAAGAAAGCGGAGGTAACGTAAACGTTGTTGAAGAACGTCGCCACCGCCGATATACAGAAGGCTGTCAGCCCCAAAATCATGCAAATGCCCAGTGCTCTCGCACGCTGCTCCACGCCAATATATCCTCCACATCGGTCAATAAGCCATCCACCAAAAAATACGCCCAAGATTGGTCCTGTCCCAGATACGACAACAAAAAGCGCGTTGACCAAATACTTGGACGCGTGCAGCGACTTGATCATAAAGATGGTGCTCCAGTACTGCACGCCCGTGACAACGAAGTACACTGTTGTGAGGCCAAACACGATCAAACAGAACACAGGTATGTGCAAAAGCTCATGCATACCGTCCGAGAACGCGCCGTGTTGGTAATCGTCCATAAACTCTTCTTCTAACATTTTGGCCTCCAGCCTACCCATCCGCGGAGACCTTCTCGAAGCAACTGCTGCGTCTAGGGCGCCGTATGTTAATGGCATTGGAGCGTCGGTCTCAGACGCCGGCAGTTTCTGCTGCTGCACTGTATGTGAAACTACAGATACAGCAGCTTCGCAGCCCGCATTCTTGCTATGAATTGACGACGTTGGCACCACCGCTGGAGTGCTGTCAAGACTATCATCATTTTCCAATTCATCTGCAATCGCGTCCAGTAGTACCGAGTCGCGCGTACCAGGGGGGTCGGACCATACTTCGTCGCATCGACGCCCCACCAACGTCCTCTTCACAATGGCCGAATTGGTACTGGTGCTGCTGATTCTGGAGAAGCTGCTGGAAACTGCGCTTATTACTTGAGCCGTACATACTTGCACTCGCGAGTAGCGCGTCTTCTTCGTCATGATACGTTGTCGATCTTGAACTCATGGGCGTGCCAACCACAGCCTCATCAAGAAAGCTGTGTAAACCAAAGCCAGATCTACCACGTGCGCTCAAAAAGCCTCCTCGTCCGCTAGTGGGCGGGTCCATCTCACTGTGATGCACAGCATTGTCATGTCCAAGTTTTGTCTCGTTGTTTTCCTGCTGACACTTTTTTCCTCCATCTGTGCCTTCGTCTTTTTGTAAACTTGTCTTGGACGTCACTTCAATCAATTGCATGTCATCCGTGTAATCATCAGACGAACTGCTACTTGCACTCTGTGTCCCACCACTCTCTCCAACGCCATCTCGATCATTATCAGTACGAATAACAAGGTGTCTCTTGGGTACGAAAAAGATGGCAATATTAATCGGCACAAGAGCCATAAATTGCAAGAGAAATGGCCAACGCCATGTTTGAATGAGTGAAGCGTTCTCCGATACAATCCAATTGCTCACCGTTCCAGCAAAATACCCAAGCATGACACCCATGGGAACACTTCCTTGAAGATAACTCATCCATCCTGCTACTTTCTCACGTGGTGCATATTCATCGACCCATAGTGGTGTATAAATACATGGAAAAGCTTGTGTAAATCCAACAGCTGCTCGAGCAAAAATGAGCATATTAGCACTATAGGTATAACCCGTTGGTGTAAATGCAAGCATTAATACAGCCATATTATTCCCCAATAAACTCATTCCTAGTACAAGACGTGGATTAAAATGATGGAGAAACAAGGCACAGAATGGTGAGGCAGCACTTAATGCTAAGTAAACCACACCACCTAATGCACCTTGTTGTGTTGCATTCAATTCAAGTGAAATACTTAATTGATCCAATAAACATGGAATCGAACCAGCTTCAAGATAGACAATAATCTGTGTCAGTATCAAGTATTTAAACAGATAACTAGCTTCCGCACGTGTCTTTTGCATGTAGTATTCACGTCGTTCAGCTTTGGTTGATAAATGAGAGGACACTGGTGATGGCGAGACTGCTGATGGTGGTGATAACGAGACTGACGAGACTGACGAGACTGATGAGACTGATGAGACTGGTGGTGGTGGTGGTGATGATGATGGTTGTAATGGCGATGGTGGTGATGGTATTGATACGGATACTGATGATGGTGAGACTGATACTAATGGTGGTGGTGGCAGTAGGTCAAGACTTACCATGATGAATTAAGTCGAATCAGAGCTAGACTCGTAATTACTTAATGACATTCACTCACTCACTGACTGACTCACTCACTGACTGACTGACTGACTGACTGACTTGAAACTTCATTTTATTTGTTTGAATCAGGTCATGTGTACCACATGAATTGAATGTTGTATATACTTTATTGTATAGCATATAGACTATTAGATCATATCATGCCAGGAATTACGTTGGTTTGTATATTTCATCTGCTAAATATTAGGTTTACACACACGTGGAGGCAGTTTGTTTGGTTAGTTCATCTAAATATTAGCAGTTTCAATCCCATCTGATTCTTAAATAGAACAGTACACTCACGCGACATTTCAATGCAATTTCAATCGTCACCTATCAAGTTTGGAGGTTGTAGGAATCTATTATTATGTTTTGAGGTTGCAAGTCTGACAACATGTAAAAGTTGTTAGTCGATTATTAAGTTTACTAGTTATATTTGCTGACTTTCGTCATACTACGTCCTATAGTGAGCGTCATGTAGCAAAACACTGTCATTTCTGCAGTATTGATAACGTTACAAGGAAATGAGATGGTCATGAACCTTTCAACACCACGTATCGTTCGTCACTAACGCATGATGTTCCAGAGAAAATGACACGTTGGCCGTATGTAAGATCATAATGTCATGAGCTGTTCAAGTAGATACTATTACATTACAAAATAAATAGGTTTTGGCAGGTTTTGAGCCATAAAATACCGTATCTATACCGCTGTAGACAATAAGTACAGTGAACACTCTATGTCACGCACGACCAAGTCTCAATAATGGACGACGAGACATATCATGATATTGCGATTAAAAACATGATGGTAGCAAACATTACGACTTTGCTATAGGATTGAAAGCAATTCTCTACTCTACTTTGACTTGTTCATATCCTGGTGACGAAACAGTGAGAAGACGCTGTCTTGTCGATCCAATTCTTTCTTCTGCTTTGCCATAAAGTCTTTGACGGTTGCCAAGGTCGACGATAATGAGGATGTCGTCATGCAATTGGCTTTCACGCTCTTTTTCCGGTCCTTCTTGCCCACTACCTCGTACTCGAGAACTAATGGCACTCGTTTCGTCTTCCACTGTGATGATGTCGATAAAGCTGATTCTACCAGGGGTAACGGCACGGGCTGTAGCAATTCCATGCAGTTCCTCTGGAAGAAATCACTCAACAGTGGCACGCACATCTGCGAGTGCTCAAACTCCTGGATGAACGGTCTCATCCACTTTGAAAGTGACTTGGTATGCTTGTTAAAGCGATGTCTCGAATCGAGCAGCATGATGGCACCATAATCCTCGCGATGACGAATGCAACGTCCGAGTGCTTGGTTGAGCGCACGAAATGCTTGTAGCTGGTACCAAATATGGCCATTCACGAGCTTTATGTTCATTCGGCTCTTCTCGTCTTGGTACTTGCGTTTCAAAGACACTTGCAGCTCCTTCACGCTTGGAAAGGGGATTCCCACGCAAAGAACAGCCCGTGCATTATCGTTCGAGAAATCAATACCTTCACTCACTTTACCGCGATAAACAGCCAAAAAGATGGCACCTGTAGTGTTCACCGGCACAGCGCTGCCATTATCATCAGCTGCTACAGCCTCCGAGTATTTTGTGATCGTGCTCTTGTAATCTTCCAAGAGGGCATCAAAGTCCTTGCCGGCATTACGTGGTTCTGAGTAGACAGCCTTATACTGCGCAATTTCGTCCCACAGCTTAGTCTTCTTCCACCGTGTTGTAAGTTTATGTAGCAGCGAGTAGGACGGAAAGAACATGAGAATGCCGCCTGGAATTGCTCGAGAGTACTGCATTAGCAATTGGCCAATCGAGTCCTGGTATCTGGGATCCTGTTGGTTGTTGTATGTGGACTGAAGATCAACGTTGCCAGGACCTTGCATGACAGCTCCAATGAACACCTGTTTGCGCATATTTACGACGTGGTTCGCCTCAAGGCGAATAGGGAAATTTACACCCAACTCACCAGCAAACGACTCCATGGGACTCAATGTACCAGATGTGAGAATGACGCTACGCGCTTGGCTTGCAACATCCGAGAATGCCACGGCAGCATTCAAACACCAGACACACATTTTCAGTGTCCACTCGTCGCCATTTCTCTTGGTAGGAGACTGAAAACTAGCATTCTCTTTCCATGCTGATTTTAACTTTATCACAACTAGCTTGAAATCGTCGATGTATTTGAGATTGTCGCGGAACATGTAATCGACCACGCACATAATGCTCTCCACTGTGGTCAATGCCAACGCACCCAAGATTACAGATGCACCTGTCGGGTTTTCCGCAGCATCTTGAGATGCTTGCGTTTGAGGTTGTTGACTGGATTTTGAGCTGTTGCCCAACTCAGTTTCGTACTCGCGTACCTCATGTAGCTTTGCTTTCACTTCGGCCAAGTTGTCTTTTGTGAGCCCAGAATACTCCGCAAGCATGGCTAGTGCATCAGCGCCATCCCAGACTTTGCTTTTCTCTTCATAACCTGAAGGCTCAAGAATGGCGTTAGCATTCGAATCAACTTCTTGTAACCAGCGGCTGATACCATTTAGCAGCTTAAGCAAGGTATTGTATGCATCCGGTCGGTTGCCGTACTTGATCACGATTGAGAATGCCTTGATTGACGTCACTAATGCATCCGCAGTGACCTCGACACTGGCACTGGATCGACACGTGTCTTCCACATTATGTGCTTCATCCAGTATGATGATTGAACCTTTAAGTTTGATTCCTACTGCCTCGCGGATCGTCGGGTCCAGCAGATAATTGTACGGCGCGAAGACGATGTTAGCACGGTTCAGCGCTTCACGCGCGTGAAAGTAAGCGCACTCACGGTGCTTTTGTGCCAGTTTCACAAGGTCTTCAATATCCCATACGGGCGGTACACTCCGGCGCAAATCATTAACTTTGCTGCGTTTTCTGTGATACGAACACGACGACTCCTCAAGTGCCTGTCGACATTTCTCGTCTACGTGCAATGGATCACGATTCACTTTGCGGTTGATGCACATGTTACGTTTGGAGCCCAGTACACACGCCTGCAATTCTTTCGTCACGTTGTCTGAGTCTATGGATGAGTTGAGATACGACACAGGACAGCTCTTTAGCTCATCCAGTACCTGTGCTAACTGCGAGTGCGTACGCGAGCAGAAGAAAATTTGTGGTGGCACTACTTGCTTCTCCTTGCTTTTACTTTCTGATCCAACAGTCTGGACATCAACGTCTTCAATCTGCACTGTATCAACTTTTTTTGTTGCTAATGCAAACGAATTGGGCAGCATTCTTGTCTTCTTTTTGATTGTAGTAGACTTCATCTCTAGCTCTCGTTTTTTACTCTTTAGCCATTCTCCGTCAAGATTAACTTGTGTAGGTGATACATCATCTCCTTCTCCTCCTTCTTCTTCCTGCGTCGTTTCCACATTGCATAGATTCAGCTCATTCTCGTCTTGTCTCTGTTTCTTGGCTTCTTCAATCTGCTCGCGTGCTTCCATCAAACATATCTGAGCCTTTAACACCCTTAATTGCGTCTCCTGAGCCTGTTTCTTAGCCTCTTGCTCTTGAACTATAGGATCTTGTTGCTTCTTTTCAAGCGCCATGACTTTATCTCGAATAAATTGCTTTTGATATGTCAGTGACGAGCATAATAACGCTAATGTTTTACCACTTCCTGTTGGAGACTCAAGAAGTGCGTGTTGCTCGGTTTTAAGAGCTGTTAATACTTTGTTCATGACTGCAAATTGAGCTGGAAAGGGCCGTTTGCCACTTGGAAATTCCACATTGTAGCCCATTATTAGAAAATTATTATTCATTCGTGTCTCCTCCATATTCGTGGACGTGAGACTAGTGTATGGCAATTATTTTAGTATGACAAAATACATTGTATTGTAAAAAATGTACTTTGATTATTGTTACTTCAGCGGGCACTGGAGGGTCAAAACAGTTTTCACAATACAATTTCAGAATGCATTTTGTAGGAATAAAATAGTTGAGCAATAACTTATTGCTAGGACCATAATTGCAATCTCTACATGTTATTTCGTGCAGCAATTATGGCACTGTATCACATAGAAGTACCTTCTCAAATAAATTGCAATTCAATTTGATGAAGAAATAAAATACAGACTCTGTATTTAATTTCCGACGTAAAGGAGGGGCAACATTTGTAATACTGAATGAGTGATCGTATCATTTATATTGTCCATGATGATGTTAATAGTAATGTCTACGAATCATTACCACTCAGGCAATAACAAATTAAAGTTACAAACACATGGAGACGCATCTTCAAAACCCACGAGCTCAGTAAAGTCTTCCTTCGTATGGTAAAAAGTATCCAGTGCTTACTAGAAAGACGATTGATTATTCACTGTAATCAAGACACAAGTGTCATCTTTCAACTGTCCATACAAACTCAGTTTTACTTATGTATTTACACAAGACATTATCAATTCGTCCTTGACGTCTATACTGAAGAAAATCCAAGTAGATTCAATGACCTCTTCATCCTTTAGTCGAAGTCCTTACCACTGTCAAACAGACGAGTTGCCTTTTCTTATACTACAACCATCAGCTTCTCCTCCTCCTGCTAAAACAAACTTTCTTCCGATCAAACGTACTTGCAATGATCTTTTCTTCCTCATTCCATTCCTTGGTGTTGTAGTAATCACTATCATATTTGCTGCCAAGTATGGCCACGAGTTCATTGATGCAACACACGTGACAGGACTGCACGAAAAATCAGGTGTCAAGTTTGTACTGAAGATTGTTGGCTTAGCTGCACTTGCAGCTGCTAGCATGTCCGTCATCTGGATCGTCTTTATGGTGGTGCTAGCCGAGGTGCTCATCTGGATTGTCCTCATTACTATCATTGGGCTCAACATTGCGGTCGGTGTCTTACTCACTAGGGAAGCGCACGATAGTAATTCGGACTTTTACTGGTGGCCTGCAGTCGTCTTTGGACTCTTTGCGATACTCATGACCTTGTACGTGTGCTGTATTCGTAAGAGGATCAAGTTTGCTGCAGCGCATCTTGAGGTGGCAGGAAAGGCCATCTTCCGCTTGCCAATGACGTTGCTGGTGGCACTCGTGATGGTCGGTGTACAAATTAGTTGGAGTGTCTTGTGGGTGCTGGGGAGTCTTGGCGTGATGTTTCACCAGGACTACATCCAACTTGAAAACACGTGCACGGCCGACGATTGCCATCTCAATTACAAGACCGGCGCGATCATCGGCGTGCTGTGCGGCATGCTGCTCATCTACTTCTGGGTCACGTTCGTCTTGCGCAACATTATCGGCGTCACGACGGCTGGGACGGTCGCTGCATGGAAGAACGCGGTCAACACGCCGTTCATCACCATGGGGGCGTGGCTACGTGCATTGACACTAAACCTTGGCAGCATTTGTTTTGGCTCACTCATTGTGGCTATTCTAGAGACAGTCGTGTGGATCCTGCGCATTTTGGCGTGGCTAGCTGGACGCAGCGGCAATTGTTGCCTAAAGTTTCTACTCTCGTGTCTTTCGTGCATCATTTCGTCCATCGAGAGCTGGGTTGAGTTTTTCAACCGCTTTGCGTACTCGTACGTGGGTACTTATGGCTACAGTTTCGTGAAAGCAAGCCGTCATGTGTTCAAGCTATTTGCAGCCAAGGGATGGAGCGCCATCGTCAATGACGACCTCACGGGCAACGTCTTCTGGCTAGGCAACATCATCATTGGCGCCGTGACCGCCTACATTGGTGTACTGATTGTGGACGACACGGACTCGGCACCACTGGCAATGTTCTCACATTCTCACGTGCTCGTGGCCTTCTTTTGCTTCGTTGTAGGTTATGGTATCAACAATCTCTTCATGTCGGTCTTGGCTAGTGCTGTAACCACTATCTTTGTACTCTGGGCTGAAGACCCGCACGGATGGCAGCTCACTCGTCCTCAACACTACGAAACGCTGCACAAGGCGTGGCTTAAGATTCACCCGGACGAATATAACAATGGATATGGAACTCATGTAGATCATGGCAAGAATAACAGTCGTGTCTAGAATTGCTTTACATCGAAAGTTTAGAAATTAACCATCACTCATTGACAGGTAGGTAGGTACAAGCGACCATCACTCCTGGTATAATCGTTGTCAAAATAAATGGTTATCGTAAAAAACCTCATGTTGTCTGCAATAAACCTAGCCTTTTTTTGAAAAAAACATTCTAATTTCAAGTCAATCCATCCGTCGCTTTCACAAATTTAGAGTGCGCAATAAATTGTGCGCGTCCAAGGGAAACCAAGGGAAACAATCAGGGCGCGGATATCAAGTAACGTATTGTAAACATGTCAGAAGACGACGTGAGTGATGTAGTGATAAAAAGTGAAGAAGAAGAAGAGATACAACAGTCTACGGAAATGCAGATCAATGAGGTGAGTGAAGTGCAGTTGCAGTCGCGTCTCAGTCGCACTTGACGCTAGCTTCTCCCACTGCTTCTACACGGTCTGAAACCCCGACAATGTCTCTACCTATAAAAAAGACACCTACAAAGCGACTAATGATCACTAGAATGTTGCTGGATAACTTTAAATCATACGCTGGAAAAGTAGAGATTGGGCCCTTTCACAAGTGTTTTAGTGCCGTTGTCGGACCGAATGGCAGTGGCAAATCAAACGTTATTGACGCTCTACTCTTTGTATTCGGCAAGCGTGCATCAAAGTTACGTCTAAAGAAAGTCTCGGAACTGGTTCATCGCTCTGCGGGTTTCCCTGACTTACAAATGGCGACAGTCTCGGTCTTTTTCCAGGAGATTATCGACACGGACGATAAGTATGACAGTGCAGTGACAGAAAACGAAGCTAATTACACTGTTGTACCAGATTCTGAATTCAGTGTCACGCGTACAGCCACAAAAAGTAACGTGAGCAAGTATTACGTCAATGAGAAAGCCCGTAATTTTACATACGTGATGGAGCTACTACAAGATAAAGGCATTGACCTGGATAATAATCGCTTTCTTATCTTACAGGGTGAAGTAGAACAGATTGCTATGATGAAAAGCAAAGGAGCTGAAGGCACGAACGAAGATGGACTGCTTGAGTATCTCGAAGATATTATTGGATCGAATGTCTATGTCGAGCCAACGGAGCGGGTATGGGACGAGGTAGAAAATTGTAACGAAGTGCGAGGAGATAAAGTGAACCGCGTTAAGCTTGTTGAGAAGGAAAAGGCACATTTGGAAGGACCACGTGCAGAAGCACTTGAGTACCTTCGCAAGGAGAAGGAAGTGTATATGAAGACAAACATCTTGTACCAGTTGTGGATTCAAGAGGCGTCCAAGAACCGCGAGTTGTGTGAGTCCAAACGTGATGAGCTGCAGGCCAGATACAAGGCAGAGCTAGCACGGATGGAGAAAAACCGCGAAGAGTTGCAGGTTGTTGAAGCCGTGTACCAGCGAATAAAGAGTGAGCATGATGAAGTTGCAGCTCAGCTGGACGAGTTGAAGACGGAATACGCTGACTTTGAAAAGCAAGACGTGAAGTTGCGAGAAGAGCTAAAATACGCCAAGGAAAGGCAAAAAGAGTTGCAGTCGACGCAAAAAAAAGAGCTGGCGAAGCAGAAGAATATCGAGCAAAGGGTGCAGGAGAATGAGGAACTGGTACCGAAGCTGGAGAAGGAGGTAGAAAAGCTGCAGTTGAAACTGAAGAAACAGGAACAGGTGCTCGAGGGCATTTTGGAGGGTCACAAGGAAGAAACGGCCAAGTTACGTAGCACGATGGAGTCCATCCAGCAGGACATGGAGCCGTTTCAGACAAAAATGAATGCGCTGCGATCAGTGATCGATACTACTGAGACGGAGATTCAGCTCGTGGAAGAGCCTGTCACAAATGCTAAGAAGGCACTTGAAGCCAACGCCTACGGCATAATTGAGGCCGAAACAAACTGGCGTGGGCTTGAAGAAGACCAGGCCGAAAAAAGCGAGAAGCTCGCCAAGATGAAAGACCGCATTATCGTCGCCAAGCGAGAGTTGGACGATGTCAAAGGTAGAGATAGCTCTGTTGCAGAGAAATTTCGTGAAGCACGCACAAAAGCTGAAGAGGCATCTGGTGCAGTGCAATCGCATGCAACTCGGAACCGTATGCTCCGGGAGCTACTTGATGCGTCCAAACCAGGTATGCCACTTGAGAATGCTGGCTTGTTCGGTCGCTTGGGCGACCTTGGTGCAATTGACGGCAAGTACGACGTTGCTATATCAACTGCTTGTGGCGCGCTCAATAATTTAGTTGTTGAGACGACTTCGGGTGCTCAAGCCTGTGTGGCTTATCTGCGTAAGCATAATTTGGGACGCACTACGTTTCTGATTTTGGAGCAACTGGGCTATCTCAAGGCGAAGTATACTCAGCACTTTCGTGCTGTTAAGACGCCTACCGGACACCAGGCACCGCGATTGTTTGACTTGGTGAAAGTGAATGATGACAAATACCTGCCAGCGTTTTACTATGCCCTGCGTGACACATTAGTAGCTAACGATCTGGACGAGGCTTCAGCGATTGCTTATCAAGGACGCCAATGCAAATATCGCGTCGTCACTTTGGACGGACAGCTTGTAGAAATGTCCGGCGCAATGTCAGGGGGTGGCAAGCGAGCCCGCAGTGGCGGTATGTCGAGCACCCTTGCGAGCGGTTTGAGCGAGGGTGAGATTCGAGCTTTACAAGAAGAGGCATCGTCTTTACGAAACGAGTTGGAACAGATTCGTGATGAGAAAGTTTCACTTGAAAAAGAGTTGTCACAACTTATCCGCAAAGTTGAGCAATATGAAAAGGATTTGCCCAAGATTAAGCTAGATATAAGAGCTACAAAGATGCGACTTGAGGATTTTAGAAAGAACAAAAGCTTTCTTGAAAAACAAACGACACTGTCTGCGGATGCGAAGAAGCAACTTGAGAAGCTGAACGATACGAAGACCGTGAAGGAGGCTGAGTACAAAACGACGAAGATGAAAGTGGACAAAATGGCTGCTGAGCTTGCCAAAATGAAGGAGCAGATTCTTGATGTGGGTGGTGAGAAGTTGCGCAAGGAACAGGATGTAGCAAGAAAAATCACAAAGCAAATTGCGGAAAAAACGAAACAAATGACTAAGATTCGAGTCGATTTCAAGAGCAGCCAAAAAAACACCGAGAAGAATGAGCAGACCCTGAAGAAGATCAAGGAAGATATCGAAGCAGCGAAAGAGAAGATCAAAGACACTCGTGAGCAAATTACTGCAATGGAGGAGAAAGCGTTAGCAATCCTCAAGAAGTCCGAGGCGGTTCAAGCGCAGGTTACTGCGAAGGAAAAGGAACTTCGCAAGGACGAGTCAAAGTACAGGAAACTGAAGAAGGAGTACGATGAGATGGCAAGTGCCGAGGTTGATTTGTCCAACAGCTTGGAAGATTGCGAAAAAATGCTGGAAGAAAACGCAAAGAAAGAGACATACTGGAAGGCAAAACTCACGTCACTCCATTCAGCGTTTATCGTGGAGCAAGAGCAGAATGCAGGCGTTTTCGAGGATGAAAAAGATTTGCCCGCTCGCAAGCGCCAAAAGAAGACCAAGAGCGCTGACAGAGACGAAGCAATGGATGAGCAAAAGGAGGAGGGTAGAGATAACGAGGACAGCGATGAGGAGGAAGATGCTAACTTTGATGTGACGCTGGAGAAGCTCCCGATGTTAGAGGCTGTGGCGCTATCTCGCTACAGCAAGGAGGAAATGAAGTATGAGATTTCCGTGCTAGAACAGCAGCGTGACGAGCTCAAAGCAAACGTGAACATGGGCGCACTGGCAGAGTATAAGCAAAAAGAAGCGGAACACAAAGCCCGCCTCGTGGAACTGGAGGAAGCGACGAAGCTCCGTGATGCGAAGCGCCACGAGTACGATGAGCTGCGGCGCAAGCGACTGGAAGAGTTCATGACAGGTTTCCGCATCATTACGCTGAAACTGAAAGAGATGTATCAAATGATCACGCTCGGTGGTGATGCTGAACTGGAGCTTGTGGATTCATTGGACCCATTCTCAGAAGGTGTGGTATTTAGCGTGAGGCCTTCAAAGAAAAGCTGGAAACATATTTCGAATCTATCTGGCGGAGAGAAGACCCTTGCTTCGCTGGCATTGGTGTTTGCGTTGCACCACTACAAACCGACGCCACTGTACGTGATGGACGAGATTGATGCCGCACTGGACTTCAAAAATGTGTCAATTGTGGGCAACTACATTAAGCAGCGTACGCGCAATGCGCAGTTCATCATCATCTCTTTGCGCAACAATATGTTTGAACTTGCGGATCGTCTAGTCGGGATTTACAAGACGAACGATGCCACAAAGAGTGTAACAATCAACCCGAAGGTTTACGAGCAAGGCACCGCCAAGGCCTCCAATGGGACGACAACGCCACTGACGAAGAGATTAAAATCCTCCAGGATGAATAATCCTGAGAGTGGCCTTCGTCGGTCTGCAATCAGTGCCCGGCGGTCCAGCGAACAGTCGGTGACGTTCCCTATAGTACATCAAGCTGCTTCAGCAACGAGTACACCACTGCAGGACCGAACTACAGCGCGTAGGTAGAACAGCTTCTTCGTGCACTTACGCCATGATATCGTTAGTGTAATGGATACACTTTTCGCGAAGGACGCTTTGCATGCATCAACTAGTACCTAGTATGCGAGAGGATAAGACGCTAATGACCATGTATTGTGCCAAGTGTTGTGTACAGAAGCTGTGACCTGGTCGTTGTAAGGTATGCGACCCAACAGCCGAAAGGCCGATAGACGGACGGCACAAGATCACTAAGGACTCAAGAAGCAGCAGCGACGGCTGAAGACGGCGATATAAGTCAAACAAAAGTTGATAAAGCAGATAGACTTGCTACTAGAAGGCTAGCACGAAAAGGATACGGCATACTTCAACACATTCGTGGAAGCGTTGGGTGCCACTACGCGCGGATGTATACAGTCTCCGTTTGTCAAGATGTTTTGGTGGCTCAATTGAAAAAGCATCACCTCACATGATGCGTCTGCTGCTGCATTTGTAGATGGAGCTGGGTATTGGACCTCGATGTCCTCGCGTAGTTAGTCTAAAAGTGTGTTACCTCTCAATCTACCGGTATGTTCATGTTCATTGTGAGCAACAACACACCACTTGCATCGACTAGACTTACGTCGCTCCATTTTTTATCTTCGGCTCAAAGACAATCTGCAAGGACAGTGCCAAATCACCCGCAAATACTGCATCCGTAATCGTAAGGTTTTCTCTGTCTTTCACGAGCTCCCGCAGCGGCTTCGCTAGGTTGCTACTAGTAGCAGCACGAAGAGCTGGTGGACCTTGCATAAACAAGCTGGCAGTGCCTGAGCTAATCGAGGGCTTCGAAAGCCGGAAATTGTCGCCGCAAAGCTCGTCAATCAATTTCTGCAGCGTCGTCGAGTCCGGATCCACATGCAGCGTCTTCTGCTGCGATGAGCAAACGACGCAATCCGTCTTGCGGTCGTACTGGAACGTATGCGAATAGCATCCTGTAGCGCCCATGTGCATGTGATAGTTGTTCATTAAACGACTGCAGTAGCTCATAGCTTTGAGTGCCTCATTCACGCACATGGCCGCGACAACCGCATTCGTTGAAGCCACGGCTGGAATGATGTTTTTTACTACTCCCAGCGTCAGACTGTAAGTAACACCAGCGATTCCAAATTGCTCAGCTCGGGTCTTTGCTGTTTGGTAAACCCACTGCATGTGCTCCGGTGAGTCCTTGTCCAGCTTCTTCTCAGGAAAGACCTTTGGCCAAAGCACGATGAACGCGTAGGCAATACAGTGTGCCGGTTGTCGTGGCGTTTCAGCTATGGTACACATAGGAAAACTCTTTTGGGGTGGAAAGGTCTCAAGTGAGCACTCGAAGCAGCTTGTGATTCTAGGAATAATTACTCGCGCCTGACCACGAAAACCTTCAGTGCCACCGTCGATCAACGGGATAATCGTCGAAGGGTCTACTTCTCCATTCTCATCCACATCCGCGAGAGATACAATGACAGAGTTTAGATAGCGACGTGCTTCAATATTATCCAGTCCTGAGAGAATAATGTGAAATTGACGGTAAAAGTCAGCGTCCATATCTTGCACTTTTTTAAAGTGTGGTATAATGTCCACATGGTTCTGACGACGATCCATATTCGTGAATGCCATGCGATTACGTACAAAAGCAGCAGCACATTCTGCCTTTGATTTACCAACATCTGATGCTCGAAATAGAAATTGTCGGTTCAAATTGGATACGTCAATTGTGTCCATATCAATAATGTCCACCTTGGTAAACCCTGATAGCACCACATCTTTTAATAGCTCGCAGCCTAACCCACCTGCACCGATAATTAGTACACGACACTCATCCTGCAGGAAATGAAATGTGTCCTGTGCAGCAGTAGGATCAAATTCACCTAATGCAATAGCTGAAGTTTCATTGGCAAAGGCCGTTGGGTGACTTAATAAACGCAGCACGTCCCAGTGACGCTGATTGCCACGAATGGATTGCATAGTAGCAGTAGTAGTACTTGTCGTTGCCATCATGACACTGGAAGAAGTCAACGTCGGTGTTGACGTGATCCTACAGGATGACGTTGCAGCGGATAAAGAGACTTGGAACGAAGACGAGATTGATACAGAATTTGAATGATTAAGCTTGGGTTTCTTAGAGACAATGGATGATGATGATGAATGTGGAGACGATGAGGTCATAAACGTTTTCGTTTTCTTTATCAATAGAGGGACAGAAGTAATCGCAAGAGCGACGTGTACAAGGTAAGGAAGTAGCAGTAAGAAGAAGAGCTCCTCAAATTAATGGCTCTTTCTTTTCAATCAACTTTCGTCGCTTTATCTGAAAAAGTCCTAATATAATACATGATGTTGATCATGTTTAAATTAAGGTGGTATACATCAATCTAACGAAATGCAGTCGAAAAACGAAAGGGCAGCGCTGCAGACGTTCTTGAACAGTCAGCTCACGCAATCCGTGGCGTCATTCGTCAAATAGTGTAATCATTAGTATCATGAGCAGTCTGGAGACAGGCATTGCAGTATGACCAATTATCCTTCCTATTAACCTCATGCAAGACGTTCATAGGCAGAAACTAGTGGAAACTGATTGGTAGCCTTCAGAAATTACAGGACGAGGATGCGAAATAGACTGTACTTTCTGCTTTTGAACTACATCGCGTTATCCATCTGGTGGTGCATCGTCTGCTCGAAAGCGTCTAAGAAGGGAAGTAATACACTGTAGAAGATGATGACCGTTCTTTGTCCCATTCTAGTGTTCATAGCATCATCATTGGGAGTATCTCAACATGTTGACGCATCGTACGATGGAAAAGATTTAGACCAGTACTGAGTAATTAACGCTAGATTTTTATAAGTAATTGACATATAAATGTCTTGGCGGCATCAATACTCGTTACACACTGGCGTAAGATTTCTCATGAGCTTGCCAGTACTTACAAAGAGCTCAGCTACGTAGCAAAAAGGGTTTATATGATTAATATAAACTTTTTTTTTCAATATTTGAATTTTTGTCGTGCATATTGAAGCAAGAGAAAATAAGTGAACAAGATCTTTTTTATGCTTTTAAATTATGATGGACGAGAAGCTTGTCATCGCCACCAGATTGCTCTCCCGCATTGGCTTCAATGGAAGAATAAAATAGTTCATCACGTCAACAAAATCTGTTTCAATGTTGCCGTCACCAGAAATCTGTTTCAATGTTGCCGTCAACAACATATCAGTTAAGAAAGGGCTTATTTGAGGTATCACATGACGACAACATACTCAGGACGGAATTCCGTATCGTCTGTCACTTCTCTGTCTTACAATCCCTCACTTTCCAATTTGCCTCCAACCAAAAACATCGTCGCTTCTTCTCAAATCAAGCACATGATGATAACGTTCTATCAAGTTCTCGCTTCAATGAGCCTGCTAGGAATGACTGCTGCTCGCTCCAGTGAAGAAGTTCAACAGTCAACTGCTAGTGTGGCCGCGAACGTGTCCACTGCATCAGGCTGCTCAAGTTTTGCTCGTTTCTTTGACCAAACCGATTTTCATGTCATGTTTCCCGATGCTGTGGATCTCTATAACTTTAATGGTCTAGTGAATGCTGCCAGCAAGTTCACCACATTTGCCAGCACTGGTAATGATATTAACGACAGACGTGAATTGGCGGCCTTTTTAGCCCAGACGGCTCATGAAAGTGATCGTTTCAAGGCTGCTGAGGAGTACGCCAAGGATACGTACTCGGTGGACCAATACTGTGACAGCAGATTGTACCCTTGCGCTCCAGGTCGTCGTTATCACGGTCGAGGTCCGATACAACTCTCGTGGAACTACAACTATTATAACGCTGGCAAATATCTTAAAATTGATCTTGTCAATAATCCAGATATTGTGGCACAAGATACTGTCGTAACATGGATGACTGCACTCTGGTTTTGGATGACGCCGCAGAAGGATGGGCTTATTATTCACGATGTCGTCACGCGCGACGACGGGTTTGCTAAATCCACCGACATCATTAATGGTGGTCTTGAGTGCGGACCGGACGCTCCGAACAAAAAGAGTGAAGAACAGCGTATCATGAACTATATTCAGATGTGTGAGGCATTGAATGTGCAACCACTGGGCAAGGTCTCGTGCAACGCGTAGTCGAATGAAGAAGACATGGCAGCATATTTAACTATGCATGCATTTAAGTTCTATGGTCAATTGTGATGTTTTCTTACCACTTCCTCATTCAAGTCTTTTCCATTGTCGTATCTAACTTGGCATCCACATCGTACCTTCTAGCAACATTAAGACTGATGCGGCTTTGTAAATTGTTCTTGCGACAAACTCATGACTCTTCAAGTTATTATTAGGATTAGTCGGTTTACGGACAGTTAAGAGAATGACGTCGAGAGCTAAAAATTTCAATTTCACATCATTCCCGACTTTTGCTCTGCGATAGGTATCATCTCGTGTCTGATTCGACTACAATCAAGTAAGAATACGTTGATGGTGATGTTGGAAATGTCTTGTAATTGCGTCCGTGCAACCTCAATTCATATGAGGAGGATACGACAGATCCTTTACGTTTTGAAGAATCCAAAGGACGTGACTGAAGCGTTTGGGCGTAGATTCATCACATTTCTGCGACTTTCCCACCTTTTTTCTGCAACCATAACGCTAGCTTTAAACGTCAAGAAATGATACCATAGCAGTGAAAAATGCACTGGCACCGTGCCTCCTTTGGACATGAGGTATGCTGTCAAAAGTACGAAACCATTCATTGTCGCCGATGATCTTGAAGCTATATGTGTAGCTAGTGCTATCAACCTGTCTTAAAATTCCTCATATTAAACGCACCAACCTGACTAGAAAACATTTAACCTCACAAATGTCCTTATCCATAAAAATACGCTTTTCCTTGCAACTAAAACGTCTTTCTTGCTTTGTACAAAAAACACTTTTCTCACAATTCACAAATGTATCAATTTCGTCCCACGTATGTTTTTCCAATTTCTGATTCTTCTCTCTCCTGCCTGTCAAACTGACTCCCACTCCATTGCGCCATTTTCCCCCTCTTCGTCATTAAATATACACCCCTCTCTCCCCTCTCATCATCCTCCTTATCATCATGCTCAAGCGGTCTATGTCCGACTCGGAGTCAACAATCGTCATCAACGACATGTCTTCGCCCTTTTATCCATCCACTACGACTTCTGCTACTCCTACTTCTACTCCTTCTACCACTTCCGTAAAGAAAAAACGACGTTCTCAACCCATGGGAAATTTAACAAATTTACAAAAACGTCAACTTTGTATGAAATTTGCTCAAGTAAAAATGACGCAACAGGAATTATGTCAATGGGCGAAACGTGAGTTTCAATTGGCTCATTTGCCTCATCAATCAACCATTTCCAAGATTTTAGCACGGACTGAAGAATTGACCCAAATGGCACCACGTGATTTATCCGCTCGACGTAAAGGACTCGTGACGCATCCAGAATTAGATACCGCACTTTGTAATTGGGTCTTGTGTGCACGTCATAATGGACTCAAGATATCGGGTGATATTATCAAAAGTCAAGCACGAACACTTGCCATTCAATTGGGAATTACATCGACCATGACATTTTCAAATGGATGGCTGGGTGGATTTAAGAAACGATATAATATTCGTCTTGGAAATGCTTCTGCCACTGGGATTGGATCGACTACTACTACTACTACTTTGCTGCTGGCGGATCTACTGCGACTGCGACTGCTACTACTACTGCTACTATGGATCATGTGAATGGAATTAATTTAACGAGTAATCTTCATCATTCATTAGAGCAGTTGCAACATATTGCTCGCATGTATGAACCACGTGATGTCTACTGTATGCACGAAACGGGACTTTTCTACGAGTTATCACCGGAAAAACCTCCTGGACGAGGACGAACTGCTAGGAGAGAAAATTATGGAGAAAGATTGACGATTGTTTTTGCCGTAAATGCGGATGCAAGTGATAGGATGGAACCAATGTTTATTGGACCAGGAAAATTACCACACGTCATGGAAGAATTAGATACAGAATCACGGTATTTTTACTATCAGAATAATAAACGCGCGTGGATGACACCTGTCTTATTTCAGGACTATATCTCCGCCGTTGACACGAGAATGCGTGACGAAGGACGCTATATTCTGCTGCTCGTATCACATGCACCATCTCATGTCTCTCTTGGACTCGAGCTAACTAACGTACGTCTGGAATTCTTGCCCTTGTCGATGATGGAACCTCTGTCCATGGCAATGCATGTAGCCATGCCCGTTAATGCTGAAGACAACACTAGTGTATCTGACGCCTCGCATTCCATTGCGTCGGCAGAAGTGAACGAGGCACCAAAGCTCATTTCGTCTTCTACCGAGTCGGATATGACACAGATAGAAGCTGCTACGAAGCTGCAGCAGGAGACAGAGGCGTCAACTGCGTCCGTCGCAGACCTTAACAACTCAACCGCAATGGCGACAATGGTGTCGACAATGGCAACTATGATGTCCGTACAACCGCTAGACGCAGGGATCATTGCGGCGTTTAAACGTCGATATCGGCGTTACCACATGCTATACGCACTGGATCGCTTTGAGGCAGGGCGACAGGATGTGTTTCATGTAGAGCAGCTGCAAGCTATGCGGTGGGTGCGTCATTGCTGGAAGCAAGAATTGCCAGAAGAGATTATCCGCAAGTGTTGGGCTACGACAGAAATACTTGTGCCCAAGCCGAACTCTGAAACGTTGGCAGCATTTGAGGCGGTCGAAGAGGATATCGACAAGGAAATTTGTGACACAGTGTCAGCACTTGATATTTTGCGACCGCTGCCTATTGACGAGTTCGTGAGCCCTCGTGATGAGAGCTCTGGGATTCACTGCGCTGGGCTAGAAGACACGGACTTTATGTTTACTGTCCCAGACAACTCTGGCTTTGATAGCAAGTACAATGTAAAGAGAATATCGCCTAGTGTCACGGATGCGGCCAGGCAGCATGGAGTTGCGCCGCCTGACTTGACTCCGCGTCTGCAGGAGTTACACGCTCGTATTGAAGCGTCAGCATCATCAGCTGCAGTAGCGGCATCGGCGTTGGGTCTAGCACCGAACATGAATACTGTTGTTTCGGGAGAGGGTACAACCTCCATGCCAATGTCATCCGCAAGCGTGGAAGACGTGCTTGGTTTGTCAATGCCTTCCTCATACGGGGGAAAGCCTAGCGACGACGGGCCTGCGACGAATGAGCAGCTCATTGAGTGCTTTAAGGTGCTGCTGCCGGAATTGGACCGACTCCGGTTTGACGATCACACGAAGAAGAGCATACGCACTACTTTTCGTAAACTGAAAGAGACAGCCGAACAGCAAGCTCTGGACCGCAAACGTGGCACAATGAAGAAGACCCAGCCGCATCAACAGTTCCAACCTCAAATGCAGCCTTCATCTCAGGAGCAGCAAGCACAGGTATTACAGATTCAGCAGCAATTCCAGCAGCAACAGATGCAGCAGCAGCTTATGATGCAACCCGACCAGGAGATGGTCATGGTTGGCCAGACGACGTCACAGATTGGTGACAACACAGTCCTGTAGATTTTATAAGTGTGTAATCCAAGACATGGTTTCGTTGATATGCTCTGGTAGTGGTATTGTCGCGTATATCGGTTGAGTGTTGATTCAAAATGCTTGCTATTCTTACCAAAAAGTCGTTACGTGGCCTTTGTCCAGGTGCTTGGCCAACTTGGCGTTGGTCAATTACGAAACCCAGTTCAGAGTAAGTGAAGCTGGCAACACAATTGGAAGCTTCTAGGAACGCAAGCGACACCAGACATGTTGTACCAATATACTTGAGTCCTTAGCAGCAGCACCACATTTATAATCGAGTGCTGGACACAAACACAATGATGAGTCATTGTGTTTGTGTCCAGCGTAACAGCAGATTTGCAATGTCTGATTTCAGCAATAAAGGTTACAGCTAGGTCACGATCAACTGAAGTGTCCCCTTTGGACAGGCAGCAACGCTACTTGCTTGCGTTGAGGTTACTACTATCTCCAATAACCTTCTAGAGCAGCTCATACGTTTGGCGTTACGAGCACAGACATTTTTTCTTCGTGAGAGTAGTTCACAAATGACTGCCTTTTCCAAGCACGCCAACACCGTATCGTAGCTGACAGCTTTGCTTCGCGTTTTTTCGCGTGAAACGCAAAGATGATGTGGGCTCTAGAGCGGTCGAGACTTTATAGATCAGTAGCAGCATTGCATTGTCCATTTACGTACGTTGCGACTCCATAAACAGATTTTTAAGCTGAACAAACCCGATTGAGGACAGGAAGAGATCATCAACATGTTTCGACTCTTTGTACGATGGCGACTCATCTACATGGCGGCAGTAGCACTCATCACGATCGCATTACCACATGATGGTGTTCAAGCACAGGATATAGGCGCTCTGGTGACACCAAGTCCAGAAGTGACGCCCGCAGCAATTGTTACGGATACCCCGGCACCAACGTCTCTTGCAACTGCCGTAGTCCCTCCTGAAGCGACCGCAGCGATCACGGAACCGGTGACTGAAGCTGTGACCGTAAATTTAACACCAGAGACAGTAGAAGCTACTATAACCCCCGTCGTGACGGAAGCTGCCACCGTGATCACACCAGCATCGACACCGGTCGCTATCGATACATTCCCACCAGTTGCTTCCAACGCAGCGCCAGTGAGCACAGATACGTCGACTGACTCGCCACCTCCAGCAGCTCCATCCGTCGCTTCGGTGACATCTGAATCCAGTACGACGATACCGTCGGAAGCAGCGTCCAACGATGTTGGTAGCAGCATGCAAGGCAGCGAAAGTGAGGAAAGTGCAAGTTCATCTTCCTCATCTTCCTCATCAAGTAGCGCTTCCGAATATGTTACCGAAACCGTGACTGAGTTCTTCACCACCACGACCATCGTGCTCTTCATGCTTGGTGGAATAGGTCTTACTATTGTAATGAGTCTCCTCTACGTCCTATGGAGAAACCAAAGACGTGAAGATCCTGGCTTGGAAACACCAGTCTCTGAGGACTCAACGACAACCACTTTTCCGGCGGTCTCAATGCCCTCGATCATCGCACCTACTGCTCGAGATTTGTCTGTCTGGAAAGCGGGTGAGTCCAAGTTCACGTCACAAGATCTACCGCTGACTGCAAACGTACACGCCAAGCTGAACGCTGTCTCGCGTTCATCCATTGAATACGACATGGCTAGCCGATACTCAAACGTTGCTATTCTGCGTGTGCACGAATCACTGGCACAAGACCCCGAAGCATCTCGAGAGACAAATGTGTTTTCAAAACAAAGCTTCGGCATCAGCGAGTACTCTGAATTTTCAATTCATGACGCTACTGACTTGGAAACTGAAACTCCTGCCATGACAAACAACAGAGACTCAGCAAGCGACGGATACTCTGCAGGCGATAGGTATTCAATGTACGGCAAATATTCAGCCTCGTCACGGCTCTCGAGCGACCCTGGACGGAGAAGCTCCAGCTGGTCCCAACTCCAGGTACCCAAGAATCTCGATATGTACCGCTACTCGTCGACGTCGTCTACAAATTCATCTATTGTAGTAAGAAACCACAATCCAGCATCGTCGGTTAACCCAGATCAACCGTCAAGTACGGACACCCCCGGGACTGTAGACAACACTACGTCGCGCACTGATGTTATAAACTGGTACAGCGTCATTGAGTCCCCCACGGACATTGGCAGATATACGACTCTATCATTTAGTAGCGATACGACCAGCATCGGACGAGAATCATTTGAATTGTAGATCACACTACTACAAATATCAGACGCATGTCTTTCCATATAGAAAGCAGGTACACGAACCGTTAGTGATCAGCTGACGTAGAGCAATAAAGACTCTTGCTGACAATCAGTGTAGATAATAAATACTAGAAAGTGTATGAGGTTCCAGTACTAGTGCATTCCAATGTATATTTTTCTTATCAACACAAATGGTAAGCAAGTGAAAAAGTATCACTGTTCCTTGTCATCCTTCCGTTTTTACGGTTTTGCCTTGTTTTTCTTCAGAGACTTTGCACGTACCTCCAACACAGCACCAGATGGAAGATCAGCAAGACGATATGGTCCAAATTGCACACGAATCAATTGTTTCACAACTAATCGCACATGAGCCAGTGCTTTACGAACTTCTCGATTCTATCACAAGACATAACGTCAAGCAAAACATACAAATATCATCACGTGTCACAACAAGAAATAGCAAATGATTAGCTTCAGCAGCAGCAGCAGTATCATCTTATAGCTACAATAATATTCATCTCTCTCTTTCACACACACAGAGACTCACTCACCTTTCCTTCAGTCACTTTCACCTGTAACCATGAATCTTTCTTATCCGTCGACTGGATTACTACTTGAATAGGTCGATATTTCACTCCATCCACAAGAGGTCCTCGTTGTAATTCTTGTAATTTTGATTCCGTCACATTTCCACGAACAAGCGCTCGATAGACACGATCAATTTTAGTCTTGGGATGTTCCAATGTTCTTGCATACTCTCCATTATTCGTAAACAGCAGTAATCCTTCCGTGTTGTAATCAAGTCGTCCCTATAATAACAACAACAATAACAGCATCAAAACGTTTTAACATGATTCGTTATAACACCTTTTCAAATCAAAAACTCGTGTTTTTTTCGTCCAACCAAAACCAAAAAAGCGTTTAAACTATAAAATGATACAACAGTAAAAACACACAGTTATTGCTCTCTTACCACTGGCATCATGTGATGTAAAAGTCCCATGACTCGTAGACGATCAAAAATAGTTGCACGACCTTTTGGATCACTAGTTGTCACAAGTTCCTATATACAATAAGAATATGAAGGAGAGAGAGAGATTAATCATTATATTCATATGAAAATGATGATGCAGACTACTTGATGTTACATGTTTGTATCTCAATGTACTGTCTCACCCCTTTTAATTTATGAGCCATCCATACTTTCGTGTGTGGTAATGTTGACACCATTTGACCATCAACCATAATCATATCTCCTTCAGGAGGCACAGACATGGCTACATTATCAACGAAATGACCATTTACACTTACTTGACCTTTTTGTATACGTCTTTCAGCTTCACGACGTGAACAAAGACCTGACATTGCAATACGTTTAGCAAGACGCATAAATGATGATGATGATGCTACTGGTGATGATGATGATGCTACTGATGACGATGACGCGTCATTATTTGAAGCGGTAGATTGAATCGTTTTCAATTGTTGACGATATTTTCCAGCTTGAGATTGCGTCATCTTTTGTTGCATGATCACGAGACATCGAGATTGCTCACCACCACCACCACCACAGAATCGTGGCAGACGTGACACTGCCATCCACTGTCTGACGTGGTTTGATTGTAGCATAATTGGAAATGACGAGTGAAAAGTGATTGAAAGGCTTCATATCGTATTGAACAGGTTTCTGTCCTCCCTCTTACGTGGCATTGTTTGAATTGTTACTTCAGTATTATAATCATGATAATACAACAACAGATTAATGACGTGAAACGATTATGGGCGAATAAGCGGCAATTAGCCAACCAGGGTCTAAATCTTGCCATGGTTGTGTTAGTTGCATTGATGATATGGAAAGGACTTATTGTCTATACAAAGAGTGAATCACCAATTGTTGTCGTACTCAGTGGTAGTATGGAACCAGCTTTTCAACGGGGTGATATTTTGTGTCTAGATAATACGGTACGATTTACCGGTTTTGTTACAATACATGACTAATAAGAGGTCGTGAGTATAAATAGAAGAGGGGATGACAATTGACGCTAAATATATGGGATTGATTCGAGTGTAGAAGCCACAACTTGAGGTGGGAGATATTGTTGTGTATAAAGTCAAGGGCCGAGAGATTCCTATTGTACATCGTGTTTTGGAACTTCATGAACGGTGAGTGAATCATCTGACCGTTTAATTTATAACATAATAGAAATAGTAATTATTCTTATTGAGGGGGAAGATTTTCTGACCATATGTTGCTGATAATAACAACAATAATAATAAATAAACAGGGGATCGGATCAATACCATGTTTACCTGACTAAGGGAGATAACAACAATGTGGATGACCGGTATTTACTACTGATAGAACATTATTACTACTTATAGAGATACTGACTCTAATCGGTATTTTACTTTATCTCTCTGTTTGTCTGTAGTGGATTGTACGCGTATGGTCAGTCGTGGCTTGATCGTGAAGATATTGTGGGCATTGCTAGAGCGTGCGTTTGAGATTGAATGTTTCTTCTATATCCTTTGACTCTTCATCATAGAACTCATTGTGTTCTTGTTGTAGCTCCATTCCTTATGCTGGTATGCTGACCATTTTACTGAATGATTACCCATTGTTCAAATACCTCTTGGTGGGTGTAATGGGTGTGCTAGTCTTCACGCAGAGAGAGTAGCGTAGCGACGTGACAAGCAGCAAGATGAAGAGACAAAGAGAGAGAGAAGAAGAGAGAGAGAGAGACGACAGAAGCGAAAGACTGGTAAAAATACTCATTGATTGTTATATCAGCGCTTCATTTTTGGAAAAACATGTGGTGAGCTCGTCATACATGACAGAACCTTTTAAACTCATTGTTGCTTGTAAGCAGCGGGCGTTTGTCTCGTCGCAGTCGACATCCCACCGGAAAGTAAAGCGCTCATCGGCAGCGCACTGCTGCCGACAGACCCGGTGCTGCTACTGTGCTCGTGATTGCAGTCGTCCTTTGCATGCCCTGTTGTTGTAGAAGGTTGCGACTGGCTGTCGATCGTTTTGTGTTTCTTTGACTTCACCTGCTCCAGGTCATTGATATCAGGAACATCAATGTGGTCAGGCGACAGACCTTTCTCGTGGCGCTCCCATGCCATGCGTAAGCCCGTCTCCAGGTTACGTACCCACCGCTGGGTGTCGAACAACGGACTGCGCAGACGCTCGTCCTCAAGCCGCCGCCGAAGCTTTTGCAGTCGATCCGTGTCATTAGCGAGTGCCACCGCAAGCTCTTCGTACTCCTCGAGCGAATTCGCAATGAGCTCACTCATATTGGCGGCGCGCAGCAAGCTCGAAGCCACGCGCGTGGCCATGCGGTCCTTCGGCATTGTCACCATCGGCGTACCGCCCCACAAAATATCACATCCGGTCGTATGCGCATTGCATTCTGGTGTATCCAGGAATAAATCAGCGAGGTAGCCGCGCTTGAGGTGCTCGTCTTTAGGAGCCACGTCTGTAAATATTAAACGTATTGCGTCTTCGACTCCACGAGCACGCGCCTCGGCGCGAATGTTCGCCTCCGCAATAGGTGGAAAGCGCAGCAGCCACAATACTGAGTTTGACACGCGCTTGAGGATATTCATCCAAGTCGTGAACGTAACAGGATCAATCTTGTATACCTGGTTAAAGTTGCAAAAGACAAACTTGTCCTCAGGCACACCATAGTCCGCTCGTGTCGGACACTTGTCCGTGTCCAGTACATCGCGCGCCGACTGCTTGTGATCGTTCACAAAGTACGAGTGTGGCATATTGATCTGCTTTTCCGTAAAGTACCGCCGGTACTCTAAAGGCACCACCGTGGCGTCGCCTACCATGTACTGAATATAATCGGCACCGAGCGTACCGCAGAAACCCATGTAGCTTACTTGAATGGGCGCAGGCTGGAGCGCAAAAATCTCGTTGCGTGCACCCTTTGTGTAACCATTCAAATTGACGAGAATGTGAATGTTGTCATCGTGAATAGAGCGTGCAGCATCGCCATTTGACAGTGCACAAATATCAGTAAAGTGCTCAACGCTGCCAGCTATCTGCTTGCGCCATATCGATCCGTCATCTGGCGACGTAGCGTAGCAAAACACCTCGTATCTGCTCTTGTCATGCATGCCAAACACACTCTGCATCAAGTGTGCCAATGGATGGTTGCCCAAGTCCGAAGACACGTAGCCAATGCGCAAACGCTCCGACGCGCGTTTGTTCTTGAAACACATGGGAGGAAGATTCACTAGACTCACGTTCAGCTTGGCACGATCGGCATATCGTCGCGAGATATCCTGGAATCGCTGCATCGAAAGCGGATACACCAGCGCGTGGAATGGCTGTACGGACGGCAGCACACCATCCACACTCAGCTGCTCATCCACAAAACGCTGCAGCATCTCCGTATCCTGAGTACGAGAATGCCAGTCACAAATAAATACCATCGAGTGGAAGTAATTCGCAAATGCATCTGGAAAGTGCGGGCGCAGTGCAAGTGCCTTGCGATAACACGTAATAGCATCGTCAAGACGGCCACCATCCTTGTACGCACTAGCTAGATTGCTGTAGGCATCAGGGAACTGCGGTTTGAGACGGATTGCAGTCGAGTAGCATTGAATGGCTTCCTCCAGTCGGCACAAGTCCTTGAATACATTGCCCATGTTGCTGTACGCATCGGCGAAGTTAGGGTCAATCGTGATCGCCTCCTGGTAGTGTGCCAATGCCTGGTCCAGCTTGCCCTGTTCCTTCATTACGCTCCCAATGTTACTGTGTGCAGCTGCAAACCGTGGCAGCAGACGCGCTGCCGTCGTGTAGCAATGCAATGCCTCTTTTACAAGACCCTTGTCCTTCAAAGCATTGCCTAGGTTATTGTAAGCGTGTGGATGGTCCGGTTTGAGCTGTAGTGCCGTACGGTAGCACACAACGGCTTGTTCAAGCTGACCGTATTCACGCAAAGCGTTGCCCAAATTGTTGTAAGCGTCTGGGAAATTCGGCTCAAGCTGAATCGCATGGCGAAAAGTGTGAATAGCCAACTCCATCTGACCTGCATCGTAGTAGCAACTAGCTAAATTGCCGTGAGCAATAGCAAAGGTCGGTCGGATCTGCAATGCCGACTTGTAAGCCTGAATGGCCTCATCCCCCCCTGCCAGCTTCCTTCAACGCATTACCCAAATTACTATAAGCATCTGCAAATTCTGGAGCGACTCGAATGGCTTCTTTATAGTGATCAATCGCAGCCTCAAGTTGTCCCTCCTCTTTCAAAAGACTGGCTAAATTACTCCAGGCAATCGCAAAACTGGGTTTCACACGAATCGCTTGTGCATAACAACGTTTTGCATCTTCGATCCGACCTTGGAGTTTGTATAAATTCCCCAAATTACTATGTGCATCAACCAATTGTGGATCAAGTAAAATCGCCATCTTATATGTCTCCACAGCTTCAGTCGTTTGACCCAAGAGCATATAACAATTGGCCAGATTATTATATGCATCACCAAATCGTGGCTTCAATTTAATTGCACGAATGTAAAACTGCACCGCACCGGATAAATCGCCCAATTCTTTCAATGCGTTCCCCAGATTCCCATAAGCTTCAGCAAAAGCAGGTGCTACACGTATACATTGTTGATTGTAAAAAATACTTTCCGAGAGATTCCCAAGTTGAAAATGCAATGCACCAAGTAGCAATAAATTATCAATTCGATATGCATCCGATTCATAGAGTTGCTCACATAATCGTAATGCTTCTGGATAATATCCAGCGACATATTGTTGATGGGCTAAATGAAACAAATCTAGAGATTTTTGATATTGAAATAGACAGAATGTAAGCATCAGAAGAGATAGAGATCGATAGAGATCGATAGACTTACATGTAAAACGTTGTTGACTTGCATCTTCAAATGGAACAGTCGGTGCAAAAGCACTAGGTGTATTCTGCAATGCTGTTTGTGTTTGATATGGAAAGGTCATGGTCGCAAGGATTCTGTATATCGGATGAATGGGTTTCTCTCTCTCTCTCAGTGTCTGTCTATAGTATGTATGCGTATGGATGGATGGATGGAAATGTCTGTGTCTAGAGAAAACGTTGTCGTAGTCTACTGAGGATTAGAAAATGAACAAGTTTTTTTTTCTGGGAGACTGCGCAATCGATCGGCGCATCCACTGACTGACACCTATTACAGTTCTAGTTGGCGTCTGTTGTATGTATTTGTATAATGGACTTGTCTGTCTCGTGTGTGTTAATGGTATGAAATTGTTTGTTTGGTTGGTTTAAATGGAAGAGTTGTATGTTTTTTTTCTTTGATTGCACCCGTTGAATGATACTAACCTGATGAGAATGATGATAAGGATCACTCTCCCTCCCTCCCTCCCCACTAAAGCCCGTCACGTATACAGTCTATTGCCACATCTATCTCTCAAAAATTATCGTCTCGCTCTCTACTTTCTCATAGTCACTTAGTAGATATTATCCGCCATTCAATACTCAAAGACTATGATTTCTACTCAACCTTTACTTCCTGACGTCAGTTTTATTTCGTCGGCCGTTTCTCTTCGGCAAAGCATGGTAAAGGGGTTCGATAGATGGATGGGAGTCCCCTAACCACGACTTACAACGACGAGACTTGGTAGTTGCTATCCAAAACGTGCGACACACGGTCATGAATCTTCTTCTTCTTCTGCATCGTTCACTACAACATAACCATATGAAACAACACATGTGTAGCATAATATTCAAGGCATCATTCAGAGTCAATGATGCAATGAATGAATGATTCTCCTCCTCCTTGGATTCTATCAAAACCTCTAGGAATGAAAGTTAAGGTTTTCCAGAACAAAAAAAACAGGTGAGTAGCCCTACCCCTCCCTATATAAGCTGCTATTAGCCACATTCTCAAGTCTCAGCAAATTTTGCCCTTCCCAGATCACAGACGTGTCTGACGCCGGGCCATGTCGAACGACAAACAACAACGTCGCGCAAACCCATAATAGATACGTTTGAAAAAAGTCGTGGATTCTACCGACTTTCTCTCTCTTGCCGCACCAGTTTTGTCAAATTTGAATATATGTAGCCATATTGAGTTTGACGAGGACGGGTATGTTGCCAAGGACATATTGTTGCTTATGACAATTCGACCAAAACGCTGCGGGATCAAGGTAGCAGTAGCAAACACGAAAAAAATGTAGCAGTATATAGTATAATAGTATTTAATACTGTCGTATTTGACTAAGAAAAAATAATACTTAAAGATGTACTACCTAATAGTAGTAATTTCCATTACTATTGTTGTCAGAAATATTACATTTCCAGAAAAAAATAGTATATACTACTATCAACGATTACTTCATTGTGTAACCAAACACCACCATCTACCTATCACCCTCTTCATCCTCTGCCATACTTAAAACAAGACATTTCAACTCATGGCCCTTCACGACGGTCTCGTAAATTGGCCACTATTCTTTGGCTGTATTTTCCTTGCCTTTGGACCTTTAGCTGCTCTCTTTTTTATTCTTGTGGCTAAACGTGCTCAACTTGTGATTATTGCACTAAGTGGTGCGTTTCTATGGCTTGTTGCGATTCTCGTGACGGCGACTTTATGGCAACTTCTGCCATTTTTAAAGACGTCCTTATCGGCTACAATACCAGTAGCTGTGCTTGTCCAAGAAGCCTTTCGAATGCTCTTCTTTTACTTGTATACACGTACGGAAATGGCTGTAAAACGTGTGACTACATCTTCCCATCAATTACCACTTAATGATATTACATCATCACTTGCAGGGGGTGTTGGGTTTTCTCTCATGCATGCATTGCTCATGTTTGGAAGTCTTGTGGGTTCATCCACAGGTTTACGTGGTGCTGCCTTTTCAAGTTCATGTGAATATATTCCATTGATATTCTCAGCAGCTCTCTCAACCTTAGCACTGACGGTACATGATATCGCACTTATGGTGATTGCATTTCATGGATACCGTCAACGATCGGTAGTACTTATTAGTACCGTGTTTGTTATTCATATGGGAGTTGCCTTGTCGGTATGTTTGTACTGATTTGATTGTGACTTTTCATTGATTCCTTATTATTATTACTCTTACTATTTCTTATTGTTGTTGTTTGCTATTATAGGCGTTGGCTAATATGGACACTAATGGCTGCTTTATTTCCATTCCTATACATTACGCTGGTGCAGCATTAGCTTGTACAGGTGCTACAAGTATTATTTGGCGTTCCAAGAGACTCAGTGTTGATACCAAATGAGCCAATTGAAGGGATATACTGCTGCTCCACAGGTCTTTCATTCATGATGCGATGAAGCATATTCAAACATCTTTCTACCAGCATTTTCGTGTCAACCTGTGTTTTCTTTGGATAATGAATGTCCAAGCCCTTTTCAATTTGTTTCACGTACGTTTCTTCTTTTTCTGATGCTGCTACTTTTTAACACTTTTTGTTGTTTGTGTCAAATAAGAATCGTAGCCTTGTTACCTCATCTCACACGCTCAGGCTTGTGAAAGACGCTGATCGACTGGTACGTGTTGGCGACAAGCTTCCTTGATTGCTTCTTCGTCCACAGTCCACACTTGTGTCGCCTTGTGCCAGCGATAGAACTGCTCAATACCTTGCTCATACAACATTTCGTAGCCCTGGATGCATAACGCACCACCTGCTGCATGTGCATGTGCCAGCATTGGCGTGATTGGAGGCATATAAGCTGCGTCAAGTACCACGAGTTTGCTGCCGTCGGAACGTGGAGCTAAAAGATAATCAGGGAGCTGAAAATTAGCGTGAGCAGGGATTGTGCCCACTACAATATCCACCCGAGCTAGTCTCTCCATGGTCAGCTCGGACAATGCCTCTGCATCAAAGCGCATAGCGACGGTCTGTGCCTTCTCTAAGGTTCGGTTAAAGACAAAAAGCTTACCAACGCCCAACTGGCGCATTGCGTACAAAGCAGCCATGGAAGTGCCGCCAGCACCAACAACAAGTGCAGTTAGTTCATGGATGGGTTTCCGTACGTTAGCTATGGCCAGCCGCTTGCTGATGGGACGTAAGATGCCTAGCCAGTCCGTATTGTCGCCCTTCCAATACGGGGAGCCGCTGCGATCTTCACGCACAATGGTGTTGACAGCTCCGATGGCCTGTGCAGCTGGTGACACCTCGTTCAGATGCTCCATGATGTCTACTTTGAGCGGTATCGTGACAGAGCCACCACCAAAGCTCGTGTTGGATGCTCGCATTCGCTTTACAATTTCCAAAGCATTCGTGGTATTGTGCAGTCCATAGGTGAAGAGTGAATTCAATGACGCAGACTTGAACCCAGCGTTATGCATTGCAGGTGACGGTGAGTTCTGGATTGGCGATCCAAACAAAAAGAACTTGCGCACTAGCACACGAAAAAAACAATTAAAATAGAGGCAGGAGAAGTAAAGGTGAGTGAGACAATTGCGCGTTAATGGAACACATACATCAAGCCGAGGCAAATAGTGCCAACTGTCTACGAATTAGATACCTGGGAGAAGTCCAAGCTGCTTACGCAGGGTCATTATCTCCTTGACAGAAAGCTGTCCAGGTACCGCAGCCGCAGGAAGCAGCGGGTGTGTCACCGGTGTAAGCGTGCGGTTCAAAACACGGGTCAGCTTGCCTGCATCTGTCGTGCACAGTGAAATGATTGGCATCTGTTGCTGCCATGCGTTTGCAAAGTCTTTCGCAATACGGTCGACCATGAGCGCATTTTGCGGAGAATAGGCCTTGATCACCACCTTGACGATCTGTACCTTACCCTGCGAGTAACACTCGCGGAAAATGGCCTTGATTTCTGCCTCAGACGTAGGCTTCTGAACGGCGTGAAATGACGAGATAACGGCGGATCGATGGCGGTGAGCCATTAAATTCTCACGTGCTTTGCTTGACCAGCACGTTTCCATGTCCACAAACTCACAGCCAAGGCGAACGCCCAACTGAAGCAGCTCAAACATCTTCTGCTCGTGCTCCTCGCCATCAGGGAAAGCACCACCCTGGCCCTTCGAGCGCACTGTAAAGATAATAGGGAGAGTTGAAAGCGATCGGAGGAGTGCCACTTGAGCAGCCACAAACTTCGTGTCCTCGGGGAACTTCAATAGATCCACACGTAACTCTAGCGCATCGACACCCTTAGTAATGTCATTGATGGTCGGGCGAGCGTCATTCACATCGGGAAACGTGAGTGTCAGGAAGAATGTATCCAAGCGGCAGATCGAGCGGTAGTCGAAGCTTGTATGCAGACCGGGGGTTACCACGGAAAGAAAACGGACAAAGTCACGGTTTATGCGTGGGTAATCCATGTCACCAGCGTTAACAACGAATTCAAATGAAGAGCTACGCTGGTACAAAGGCTCCCTCCGCGCCCAAACATTCGCATGGCTGTTTCCCAATGACGGACGGTGTGACTCCTCCGAGGAGTCCAGGTACGATAGAACATCCTTGATATCGCGATGAACGTGAACCACGTACGGGTATTTTTCGAGCGCATTCACGATCTCTGGAGACTCCACAACACCTCCACCGCAAGAAATAATGGTAGCAGGAGGTGGATTCGCAATTAAACGCAGTAGCAGATCATTTTGCTTTTCGCGGAAGGCTTCCCATGTGTGATTGTGACGAGCGACAAAGTTCGCTATAGTCTCACCAAGTTCTTTCTCCAGCATTTTGTCCGTATCCAAAAGATTCAGTTTCAGTGCAGTGGACGCAGCTTTCGCAACTGAGCTTTTGCCAGCACCACGCATGCCAATTACAAACACGCCTGGGATCGTGGTGTCAACGTCACTGTTACCCGTCATTTTCTCGACAACAGGCGCGACTTGAAGGCCAAGATGCATTTGCACGTGATCCCAGAACTCCGGGTATGTCTTGTCTGTGCATTCCTTGTCGGTAATGATCACATTGTCGACGACAGAGCCGAGGACTGCAAAACTCATGGCGATGCGGTGATCGTTGTGGCACGCAATAGAGGCCTTCTTCAAGTGGCCAGTAGTACCTGCTGTACCCTTGATCCAAATACCATCGGGCAGTTCACCGCACTCCACACCAATCTTGCGCAGCTCCGTAACCACCACCTCAATACGGTTGCACTCCTTAACACGCTGATTTGCAATGCCAGTGATCTTGGTTGTGCCTTGAGCCACAGCAGCAAGGGCAACAGCTGTCATGAATGCGTCTGTCATAATCTCCATGTTTATTTCCACGGCCTTGAGAGGTGATCCGTCCTGCGGTCCAGTCACTGTCGTTGAGGTAGCGTCTTGGGTCGTGGTGCATCCCATCGATCGCAACAGGGTGTGGAAAGCAGCATCTCCTTGTAGACTACTATCGCCAAGTGCTTCCACTGTGACCTGTCCGCCCGTAATAGCGGCGAACGCAAGCGGGTATGTGGCAGACGATGCGTCCACCTCTACAGACACTTCCTTGGGATTTTCGTATGTGCCGCAAGGTACACGGTAGCGGTTTGGAGCAAGCGTTTCCACCAGGATGCCAAACTGTTTCATCAGCTGTGTAGTCATAAGAATGTAAGGCAGCGAAGTCGGCTCGTCCTCTTCAAGCTCCAGCACCAGCGGTTCCTTTGCGTACGGCGCGCTAATAAGCACAGAAGATACGTACTGGCTGCTGACTTTGGCAGCCAAACGAACGGTCCCACCACGTATACCCGTCCCACGAATTGCCAGTGGCGGGCACCCTTCGCTCTCAAGATACGAAATCTCGCACCCGTTTCCACGCAGCGCATCCACTAGCGATGCAATCGGACGTTCTTTCATGCGATGATTACCTGTGACGACTACTGTACCATTGCCCTCACTCGGCACTAGGGTCATCGCGCTTGTGAGAAAGCGTGCAGCCGTGCCAGCGTTGCTCAGATAGATCTCTTCGCCACTGGCAACAGTGGCAAACTTGCCTGCCGTGCCTTCTACAACAAGTACAGCACCATTATCCTCCCAGAAAAACTTGGCGCCAACCTTCTGCAGTGCGTTCATCATAACCTGCGTATCGTCCGAGTGAAGAAGTCCTGTGATACGACACGGACCCTTGCCAAGAGCGGCCATGAGAAGTACGCGGTTTGAGATTGATTTGGATCCTGGCACGCGAATTGTACCGTTGGCTTTTGAACCAGGCACCATGCGAATTTGCTTTTCGAGCACCAGCTCAATCTGATGGTCCTTCACGGCGCGCGCGTATGGATTGGCCAGGACTTTGCCAATCTTTTCCAGCAGCACAATTTTCTTGACACCCTGGCTATTCTTTTTGTCAACCTCCATTTTCACGAGAACATCATGTGTTGCTACGTGATCAGGTACACGAACGGGAAGACCATAGGCAGTAAAGCATCGACGTAGTCGACCTACAGTCGCCGAAGTGCAGATGCCCATACCACGAGCAATTTCAGCCTCTTTGATGCAGCCTATGGACACACACTCACCATGCAAGTATTCAGGTTGCAGTAATGCTTCAATACCATGACCAATACTATGACCAAAGTTAAGAATCGCGCGTAATCCCATCTCCTTGGTATCTACGGTAACAACAGTGGCTTTAACTTGTACAGTAAGTGCCACAACACGGTGTACAATGTCCATATCAGAGAGAGCAAGAATAATCTCAGCTGAAGTCTCAAGTAGTTGAAAGAGTTCAGCATGAAAGATCGCCCCAGATTTAATCACTTCACTCATACCATTGATCAATTCACGCTTTGGTAGTGTCTGTAATACATTGAGATCAATGTAGACACGTTGTGGCATATGAAAAGCTCCTAATAAGTTTTTACCAGCTTCAACATCAATACCTGTCTTTCCACCAATACTAGAGTCTACACAAGCAAGTAATGATGTTGGTATTTGGACAAAAGGAACACCACGCATGTATGTCGAAGCAATATAACCAGCTAAATCACCCACAACTCCACCACCTACAGCTATAATACACGTATCACGATGACATCGATTGGGAAATAACACATTGTCTTCAATCGCGGCTTTCATTTCACGACATTTCGAAGCTTCACCTGCTGGTATTGCATGGTATAAGACACGACATGAGGAGGAGGAGGAGGAGGTTGTTGTTATCTTCTTGTTCTTCTTCTTCTTGGCTTGTAACAATTCAGTTAATTGGCTACATAATGGTTTCGCATATAATGGTCCTACATTCACATCCGTAAGAATGACAAATGTAGACGTCGCTGGAAGACGTTCTAAGAGATCTTTAGCTACATATTGAGATTGCAATAGTGATGAACCTAATATAATGTCATAGAAACCACATGAGATAAGCTCGGGTGCTAACATGATGAGAGTGTTACTTGAGTGTTACTTGAATGAATATCGAATGATGGACGAGGGAGTATCTATCCTTCATTCAATTAATCAGTGTAGACCACATAGATATCAAGGACATTGTAATTGACTGACTGACTATACGTGAGTGTTTCTCATGACATTTATACTCCAGTTTAGTCACACGGACGACATGAAAATGGTCAGTTAACTAATTAGACCTGTCAGTCATCACACACGTGAGATGTCTATGGTTGTTACGCTAAAAACACTGAAATTCTGTGACAGTATTGGAGATCATGATGATGCAATTTGAGTCCTGCATTTAGTATCTGGGTGTTGCTATCATCAGTCTCATGGATCCTGTTAACGTGAAACGTGATGACTAGCATTGAAAGAGGTTGAATACAGACACGTAGGCAACATGATCCTGTCGCATTGCTGATGTAAGAGAACATGTCAAGTGACGACGTATATTGAGCTACTAATTTTGTCAAGCTCATCTACTGCTATCTAGAGCGAAATACGTGTTAGAGTAGGGAACGCAATGAACGACACGAGCCTTCCATATGTGTAAGCTTCACTTGTCTTTGTCTTCCCATTGCTCCTTCGTCGCTTGAGTGACCCCCATGACTGCATCGATCAAGTCAGAAAAAGCTTGCTCATTTGGCTGGGGATACAGATGCAGGTCATCCCAGTTACCACGCTCCAACACGCTCTGTAGTCCGTCTACTGACGTCTGTAGACAGTATTTCTGATCAGCCATGGCTTCGGCCAACTCTTGCTGATGGTTGTCCATAAGCATCGTATTTACTACAACAATCAGCTTCTTTTTCAGTGCAAGACTGTCCATAATGGAGCCAGCGCCGGCATGACTGATGACTAGATCGGCCCAAGCCACGTCGCTCTTATACTGCGGGTCGTGACGGTAAAAACTCAGCTTTAGACCTGGAAACGATGCGCGCGGCAGTCGCTTACCATGACCAATCTGCATCCGTAACGATGTGAAACCTCGTTCTACCAATGCAGACAGACACGCGTCGGTATCCAGAGCTGCTACAAGCGCATCAAACTTGGTCGTTCCTACCGTTACGAAGACGTGCATTTGCTAATTTTGACTTGATATTTGTATGGAAATGGGTCTTTTGACAATTTTCCATTCTTCACAGCAGCAATGACATCAGCACAATCGTCTGAAATGCATGAAGGCGCACCATTGGATCGCCGCGTATTTGATTCATGGAAAGAGTTTGAGACGTATATGGAATTATATGCACAAGGTAGTTTCCAACTCTTCCGAAAACGCACATCTACATCAGTAAAGCTACGTAACCGACGCGTGACCGAGCGTCTCTCATTACGCTCTGAGAACACGTCATTATCGGAGCACAAACGGGCAGAGAATGCACGACTGATCCCGGAGAGATACAATAACTATTCACTGACACTCGTATGTACTCATAGTGGTGCTTTTGTGTCACGTGGCACTGGAAGACGCTCTCGTCAGGATGTGCGTGCTACGCGCTGCAATGTGCAAGTAAACGCGTGTCTAAAGCTAGCAGATCCCGTGTCTAATCGCTATCAAGTGTACGTGACGCGAGCATTATTGACCCATAATCACCGAGTAGATAAAGAAACGTTCCTACAGTACAGCAACACGAGACTTAATCTCTCGGGTGAGCTGCTACACTGTGTTGAGCTCATGCGGAAGACAGGTGTTAAACCAAAAGACGTGCGCACCTACATTATGGAACACTCGAGCTGTGCACCGACACTCAAGGACGTGCAAAATATGCTACATCGACTGCGGAATCAGGAGGAGGCAACAGTAGCTGCAGCTGCTGCTGGACCGGCGACAATGACCGCTGGTCTGGAATTCACGCACCTCACTGACGAGTCCAATAATACTGCCACATCATTGACGTCAGAGGAACAAATACTACACGACTTCAGACTCACTCACTTGACGCCAGTGGATGGCAAGTCACTCGATCTAGTGGACCCCACGACGCAGTTCAAAGTGTCCCGAGCGGTGGGGAATGTGGTCGCAACTGTGCTGGCCAGAATGTCAGCTGCCGAGTTTACAGCCTCCTTTCGTGTATTGGACGTGGCCCTAAGCATTGTCCGAGAACGTCGAGAAGAAAGATTAGTGGAAACTAGGACAGTCATGAGCGAAACAGGTGACGGGGCAGCAACTACTGGCGTTGATTCTGGTGGTAGTGGTGCAAGCGTTGATGATGCATGGACACAAGGGATTTAGTACGCTGTAATGAATTGGAAAGTCTGCGAGCTTGCCGATAACAAGTCTTTTTTGACGCACTACTCGTGAAGCAAGAGCCTAAATGTGACGCTAGACCCTTTGAACGACAAGAGCACCGAGAAGGCGTCTAGGAAGGGACAGTAAGGACTTTGTTATGCAAACAATTTTGCGAGTTTGAAAGGACCAGGAACTAGAGCAAACGGAGCAAAAGACACGAAGAGTTGCACATGTTAGAGATGCAAGTTATGACGCTTCAAAAGGATCATTGTAAGGTGATTAAATGCACGCGATGAAGCTAGAGAAGGCAAGATATGGTAGCAAATGCAAGGCGAATGTCTAACATTGCAATAGGGGATATGAATTACTGCAATATTGCATACTAAAACCGGTATCAAATACTTAATATTAATAAAATGAACCAAGCAGAGGCTATAAAAAACATAAGCGGTCATTAAAAATTTCAGCTTCTGGTAATAATCATGTGACATTATAATTCGAACAAGGGAAAAGACAGTATTTAAGAGCTTTTAACTCTATTATAAAGACTTAGCAGATACTATATTCACAACCAAAAGACATATACTGCAAATCACTAAGATAAATACTTGAAGGTGCGTGCTATTCAACTGTCGCATGCTGCAATGGATGCATTGTCGCCATCGGAATGGTCTCATTTTGCTCTTTGCGGTTGTACAGAGCCCGGGATTGTCCCGATCAGCATGGAAACGCTTGTTGCATGTTCGCTGTAACTACATTCCCATCGTCACTGTTTGATCTGTCGGCGCCCATCATGCTGCAGCAAATCTATCTGAGAGGGAAGCAACTGCCTTGACCGAGTGCTTGCTCCGGCTCGTACGGGATCGCCTCGTTCATTTAAGCTACAAGCAGTTATCAGATATCAGATTGTCTGTGTTCGCCTTCACCAACGACCGCTGAAACAAGTCTCTCGCGTTGACGTTGTTACGAGTACATGTGTCAATATCAACAATATATATGCAGCCACGTACGAGCACGTTGCCAGCCATGCCGCAACAAAAAGCAGGGTTCGTCTGCCTTCATTTACAACCCTAGCGACATGGCCGTCTCATCACACAGATTGTCTTACATGGCTATCGAGCCGAGCAGCTTGCAATAAAGCAGCAGTACGACAGCCTTTTCCATCGAGTAGATTTTTGGACAGCAGCAATGCTCGTGCTTCATCATATGTGGGTTGTCGTCCCATTAACTTTGTGGAAGCGACACTTGCGATCGGAACGTAGATCAATGCGAACGCTGCGGTCAGAAACGTGGCGAGCGTGGCATCAGCTATATATAGATCGAACAACATATCCATCACCGCCTCGTGTACGTATTTTCGTCTTCATTGTTGCTGTATCTTACCACCAGCCACATACTTACGTTGTCAAGGGCAACATGTATAGAGAAAAAAGAGGCATATCTGTAACATCACGCGATACTGCATCATTGCAATCGAAAGGTCCATGTCGTTGTCGCTAACACTAGCCCTTACAACGCAAATAATGAGTGATATATACACCTAATCATCCCACAACCTTGATTGCGTCTGGCTTTGGCTACTACGTGTTATTGAGTGACAGAAACCTGGTTATTGTCGTAGTCTGTATTCTAAAAAAAAGCCAGCATAGACAGATGATGAGGTCTAGATACTGTTATTTACTATTACTAGGACCATTTCTCACTCTGGTCGAGCGAGCTCCATCGGATCTTATGCGATTATCCCAGACATCAATAAAAATTCGGATCTTGTCGCATATACCACCGATAGAACCTTGCCGCATTAGCTTTACTAAAATGGCTTTAATGTTACGTATTGTATTGGATAGACGAGCCAGACAGGAACCAGAACCAACTCGTTACATTACATCTTGTCCAATCCGTTAATTTTAAGCAGTATTAGGGGTGTTACATGGTATATTAGCCAATCAAAAGAGACTTACAAGATCAGAATGCCACAACGACCCAGACGGGCAGGACAGTCGATGGTTCATTGTGCAATTTGCAATTTTCGTGTCACTTGATTCTTTTCAACATTTGCTGCAGCGCTGTGAAGTAAGAAGAGGTTTTTCTACTGCTGTTTTTTTTCAGTTCACTACAAACTAAAAGCCCATCATTACAACAATGGCTGGTGGTGGTGGTGAACGTAATTCTTACTTGTCTCTGGCAACTCCAAATGATGTTAAGAATTATACAAATGATGTAGGACAAGTTCAATGGGCTCAAGTTCCATTAAATGCAGCATTAGATAAATTAAAATCATGTCGTGAAGGTTTAACATCTGATGAAGCTGAGAAACGATTAGCTGAGTATGGACCTAATAAATTACCGGAAGAAAAAGTGAACAAATTGAAATTGTTTATGGGATTTATGTGGAATCCATTATCATGGGCCATGGAAGTCGCTGCTGTGCTTTCCATTGTGTTATTGGATTATCCTGATTTTGCACTTATTCTGATCCTATTGCTACTTAATGCATGCATTGGATATTTGGAAGAAGTTCAGGCTGGTGATGCTGTATCAGCCTTAATGGGTCAATTAGCACCTGAAGCTAAAGTATTTCGTGATGGAGAAATCAAAAACATTCCAGCAGATTTGTTAGTACCTGGTGATGTCATCCGTGTACGTTTGGGTGATGTGATTCCAGCTGATCTCAAGTTCCTCGAGGGTGATGCTGTTAAAGTTGATCAATCCTCACTCACTGGTGAGTCATTACCAGTGACAAAGAACGAGGGAGATGAAGGGTATTCTGGTTCGGTGGTAAAGCAGGGTGAGATTGAGGCTGTAGTGACAAGCACAGGTATCAACACGTTCTTGGGTCGTGCTGCGGAGAAGATCGCGTCCGCGGACTCGCACGGCCGTCTGCAGATGGTGCTGACAACTGTGGGCAATTTCTGTATGGTGTCGATCCTGTTCTGGTGCGTGGTGGAGCTAATGGTACAAATGGCTGGTCGCTCGTCACAGAACCCGTGTGTCATCGTGACGGACGGCTGTCTGGGTGTTGCCAACATTTTGGTGCTGATTGTTGGCGGTATTCCCGTGGCCATGCCGACTGTCTTGTCGGTGACGCTTGCTATCGGTTCGTCGGCTTTGGCCAAGGAAAATGCCATTGTGACGCGTCTGACGTGCATTGAGGAGATGGCCTCGATGGAGGTGTTGTGCTCGGACAAGACGGGTACACTGACATTGAACCAGCTCTCCGTGGACATGGACAATTTGATTCCTTACAATGACTTTACGACGGCTGACATTCTGAAGTACGGCGCTCTGTCGGCTCGTACGGAGAATAATGAGGCTATTGATGTTGTGTGCCACAACACGTACCCTGGTCACGCTACTATGTGGGATGAGTACACGCTGCTGCATTACACGCCGTTCGACCCGACGACGAAGCGCACGATTGCAAAGTTGAAGGACAACCGGACTGGCGAGATCTTCCGTGCCGTAAAGGGTGCCCCGCAGGTGGTGTTGGACATGGACGTGAACGCGAATTTTCTTCGCGCGGAAGTAGAAGAGCGCATTGACGAGTTTGCTTCACGCGGTTATCGTGGTTTAGGTGTGGGTATTTCTCGCAGTGGTGATGTTCCTACGGAGGAGTGTGAGTGGCATATGATTGGTCTGTTGCCACTGTTCGATCCGCCTCGTCACGATACGGCCGACACGGTGAAGAAGGCCATTGCTTTGGGCATTGCCGTGAAGATGGTAACGGGTGACCAGAAGGCTATTGCTGTGGAGACGTGCCGTCAGCTGGGAATGCCTACAAACATTTTGGACACTTCTTTCTTTAACACTGCTCCTCCTCCTGGACTGAATTTGGCGCAGATGATATATGACACGGACGGTTTTGCTCAGGTCTTTCCTGAGCATAAGTTTGAGATCGTGAAGCACCTGCAATCATTGGACAAGGTTGTGGGTATGACGGGTGATGGTGTGAATGACGCTCCAGCCCTGGCTCAGGCCGACATTGGTATTGCTGTGGATGATGCTACGGACGCTGCGCGCGCTGCTGCCGATATTGTTCTTGTTTCTCCTGGTTTGAGTGTGATCATTACGGCCATTCGCATGAGTCGTGAGATTTTCCTGCGCATGAAAAACTATGCGATGTACTCTATCGCGATGACCGTGCGTATTGTGTTTACGTTTGGTATCCTGACGGTTGCGTGGAACTGGTACTTCCCTCCTATTCTTGTGGTGATTCTGGCTATTTTGAACGATGGCACTATTTTGACGATCTCGAAAGACAACGTGGTTGCGTCACCGTACCCGGACTCGTGGAAGCTGAAGGAGGTGTTTATCTCTTCGATCACGTTCGGTCTGTGGCTGACTCTGTCAACGATCGTGCTGTTTGCTGTTGTTAACAACTCGAGTGGTTTTGAGAGCACTGGTGCTGAGAACCTGTGCGTGAGCTGCATGAAGGACCATTGTCACGACTTTTTCCAGAACCAGTACCAGGCATGTGTGATGGACAACAACGCAACTGGCTGTGGTGAGATGACGGGCAGTGTGCCGGAGGCAGCTAGTTTGATGGACGTGGGCACGTTCCGCGAGAGCGCTGTGAACGCTTACTGGACCCGTTACGAGTCGAAGTATGACTCTCGGTCGAAGTTATTTGAGGATTTGGCTGACTCGCACCTGAACTCACTTCCTAACGACGCAAAACCTTCAGCTGAGGTTGCTTACAACCAGTTCGTGTACGCGTATACTCTGGGCATGGGTGGTGCTGCTTACGATGGCGACTACGACGTGTTTAATGCTGCTCAGCTTGGCAGGGGTGTGAGTTTTGTTGGCAAGGGTGAGGTGCCTGTCACGAACGAGGTCAGTTTTTGCGACTACGTGTGGGGCTTTAGCAACTGGAACTCGACGTGGACACGCGACAACGAGATGATTGGTCCTGGCATTCAACGCAAGGAAGGCGTGCTTCGATCGCTGGTGTACCTGCAAGTGTCCATCTCTGGTCAGGCTCTGATCTTTGTGACGCGTACGGC